AAATATATTAATCAATTATTTTGCTGCATTTATTCTGAAACGTGTGCAATTTGTCGCATTCAGTGTAGCTGCTGCTCTGGATTTCGTGCAAATTTAGAAATAGGGTTGCTGTTGTGGGAATTTAAAGCCAAGTTTAAACAGGGAGGTTTTAAATTTAGATAGATTTTTTCGAAACCGATTTTTCCTAAAGTGAATCAATAAAAAGATGGAATGTTTTAGTTTACTCTTTAATAAAAACAGTTTTTATATTCCTTACTGCTGTAGAAACGTCATATCCCACTTAGAGGATCCCCAGTAAGGGGATGTACAAGTTTTATTACAAGTACGTGTTACGGAGCATGAAAAGCACGTAGGTTATAACATAATTTTACGCGTTTGGCGCAAATATTTGCAATTTTGATCTCAATCGAAAGATATCAACATACACTATCAAGAGTTTTCTTTATATATTTGTAGGACATTGGTGGACTTTGCCAATCTTCCAGGTTGAACTGATGAAATAAATATTTAAGAAATTATAATTTTCTTTATTATGTTTAGAAACAAAACTTGAGAACTTGATTATCCGCTTTTTGGTTTTTGGATGAAATTTCCTTCCATAATGTTTAAAAGCGATTTTAACGGACTATATATGCTTATCAAAAGTGCAGATAGATTTTTAAAAACTAATAATACGAATGTAATCCCGAGCTGAAGTATTCAAATTTTCTTTGTTTCATTAAAACCCAGAAAAAGCTTCAGAGGTCCTGTTAGGTATACATATTGTTGACCCGAAGCAAATTCTGAGTCGTTTCAGGCGTGTTTCTCAATCCGTCTGTTCATATATCTTTTAATTAATGCTACGGTGGATGTACTTTTGATGACAAAAATGAAGGTATCTGCTTCAAATTTAGCAGAACGGTTGAAAACGGCTGCCCGCAGGTTGGCATACTGCAAATTGGCCAGATAGGTAAAAAGACACCCCCATGGTACAATATAAATTGAGAACTTCTTGGTGTTCTTGCTTTTTCGTTCATTACGTATGAGCTACAATGGTTACACGGTAAAAATTTCTCCTTATATTCTACAAACACAGTGAAAATCAGTCACGCCTATCCAATAGTATTGAGTATGGAAATTTTATTTCATTCTAAACCCGTTATACCCTACACCTCTTGTGGTACAGGGTATATTAAGTTAGTGCGAACATGTGTAACACACAGAAAGGCTTAAGGTAGACCCAACTAAGACTATCTGTTCGTCTGATGTCTGCTTTTTTTCAAGCTTTCGGCCGCAATTTTTGAGATATTACGATAAAACATGTTACTCAGACGTAACTTTGGCCCAAGGATGAACGCTATCGAAAACGGTTTTTATCCGTCGACTTTTTCGGCCGCTCCACATATAACGAGCCATTCTGAATGGATTTTTCAAAATTTCTCAGCGAATGTGACTGAATAGTAGTGTTTCGACTTTCTATATATGAAAACTTTAGTCTGGCTGGAGGAATTTTTCGCCCTCCTCCGATATAATCGTTCCTACAGGAAACTGACAGGATGAATTTTCACTATTTCATGGTGAAAATTGTTTCACAATAGTAAGTAAGTTGGCAAAGAAATCTACCTTAGCAAGTTTGGACAACATAGATTTATTTTTAGGATATGAAGAATTCTTATGAAACTTCTAGCCTTCTATGCTAAAAAAGCCTAATTGTTAATATTTTTTAATGAAAATTTGTTGATGATAATAATTAAATAGAAAAATGAACCTAATTTGAATTTGAATCAAATGGATACATTTCTTGGCCACACTACATATAAAGGATATATCATGGGTAGTAAGCTCTTCGAAAAAAATTTTTAATATTTTCTGACAAAAATGACTTCGTAGTAGCATTTCACTCAAAAAATGAACGGTAGGGAATTTGGAACGCATAAGTCTATATTCCTTGGACCCCCAACATGTATAGGCGCTATCACAAAATGCAAACTCTTATATGGAGAGAAAATCTAACCTTTCTTAATGAAAATTATAGTTTTGCATGAAAACAATATATATTTGTAGTGCATTATTACCAAGACAGGCGAATAACTGCGCTCGGCGAACTTGTTTGAGTAAGTCGTGGTCGGCGCTGCTCGACTATAATATTCTTACCGATTTTTAAGATGGAGTTAGCGTACAGAAGGTTCGATCACAACCGAATGTGATTCTCCTACAGAGTTTTTCTCCTAACTGAATTTTGTATACGGTTTTAAAATTCCCTTTTAAGATGCTATTGCTAAATAAATTCAATAGATAGAAACTTGAAAGATTCGGAAATGATTCATTATCATGATGATTCATAAATCAATCATTAGCAATTCGCACAATCATCGTTGCATCGTTTTTTAATATAATAATAGCATAAATACGTAAAAGGTTGATTAAAAAGAATTTCCGATCAATTGATTGACACGCTCAGTGCAGCTCACGCAAGATGGTGGTTGTAAAAGGAATTCACACCCACTCGATTATAACTTTCATACTGAACTGCTTATCAACATTTCCATTGAAATGGAAGGCAGAAAATCAAGTTCTTGCAGAGAACTGTTGCCAACATGGTACTCGGTGGAACAATACCCTTAAATATCGGGCAATAGAAACATGAGAAGACTCATTATAGTTTATAAAATAAAGCGCAATTAGTTCTTGCTTAGGAATTGTGATTATAGATATGCTAAGTTAGCCGTATTATAATACACCAAATAGGATTGCCGCAAAGGGGACAATAAACGCATAGTATATTATATAAAGTATAAATTTTATTTTTAAAATTTCCGCTTTTCCATAAAGGTTAGATAAGTGCTAAGAAAATGATGAGTGTTTTTTTATACCCATCACAGAAGGGTGGAATTATACGCATTTTGTTTTTTTCATAATATATGTAACACCCAAAAAGAAGCTTCAGAGACCTACAAAATATAGCAACGTGAAATTCTGAATTGATTAAGCCAATGTCTGTCCGTCTGTCCGTCAGAGACCTACAAAATATATCAACGTGAAATTCTGAATTGATTAAGCCAATGTCTGTCCGTCTGTCCGTCTGTGTGGTGTGTGTTGTTAAGACTCTCAAAAATGAAGATATCGACTTCAAATTTAGTAGAAACAGTGTGAGTCTTTGCCTGAATGTTGGTATAGAAAATCAGCTAAATTGGTCAAAGCAGAAGTCCTCAGTAGAGTGTAAACTGAAAGCGACTCCGCTTTTCTTAACAAAAATTTGTGAGTTTTTGCTTGTTACTCCGAAATTATAAAAACTAGAAAACGGGAATTTTTCACATTTACTTTACGAAATACTTTACTCCTTACGTGCAAAAAGGAAAAAATATATCGGCCATACCCACACAAAGTTACAAGTAATTAAATTTTTTTTTACTTTTTTGAGGTTTTACGCTTGTTTATCATAACGCAAACAAGTCAGAATGTTTCAAATAATTTTGAATATTCCTCAAATGAAGATATATTATCTGTCTAAGGAATATGTATAGACACCGTGGGTACTTTTTTCTTAATATTTCTTAGCGATGTGGGTATAAAATTGAAGAAGTTGGAGGGTAGAATTCGAAATGTATAGCGGGGGGTAGGCGAGATTCGCCTTCCGCCGAATATAACTTTTTTACTTCTTGTATTATAATTTATTATTATTACAATTTAATAGTAAGTTGTAAGGCCTTTAAGACAATAACACTTATATCGTTCATATATGCTGGCGATTTTTTTAATAGTGTCCGCTGACTCATCTTTTTCGTAGGTTGTGAGTCATCTCTCGATAAAAGCGCAAAGCTTTACTTGACGCATACGTCGATCTTAATTTATATTTTAATCTTAGCAAAACAATTATAATTTATTTTGCGAAAGACTCGAAATGTGAAATTAATTTCTACACTAAAGGAATTGAAGTCATTGTCGTGAAATATCTTCGATTTGTGGCAAGAATATTCAACGAAAACGGTTAAAGACTTTCAATGCGTGTGTAACATCAAACTTATGACTAACGATCAGTCAGGATTGCCTCCTAAAAAAACTCTGACACCGTACAAAACATTAATTCGATCTAAGATCGATTTGCACATAAGGCATTTTGTAATTTTCCGAAATAAACGGAGAAAGACATACAGGCATTGAATGTTAAAACGTTGTACGGGACTGGCAACCTCAACTTGTCAATATATTTTTGATGTTATTTCTGGTGAATCGCTTGTTTTCGAAAATACTCTCTTTCTTTGCACTACTAACGAGTTAATTAAGGTTAAGTTAACCTTCCTTCATTCAGAAAATTATATCTCTCAGCGATAAAGTATGTACATGTATTGTCCGTCATACTTTGGACAAAATAAACCCGTAGCCTCTCTGGAATTTTGCTAACAATAAATGTAAAGTCTTCATAAATATCCTTGAGTCGATGTCCACGAACTAGTGAAACGTCAATCTTTCTTGCTTGAAGACTTAATGTCAAGAAAAACTTGTTCTTTATCACTGCCGCTGATGGATCGGTCGGGCGTAATGTGTCCAGTATTCAGAAACATTTATCGCAAGTATTAGAGAAGCTCTCCTGCAGATTTAGGGAATTCCTTGCTATCAGACATGCCGCAAAGGTATCTGTCACAAATGGTCATAGAAAATTTTTCGTTTTTCCAGACAAGTAGACAATCAATGTGTATTGGAAATGCATAAGATGATATATTATATTAAAATTGGGGATTATCATCTGGTATGAATACCGGATTAGGGTGGTTGTTTTTTAATGATTTCCATACAAATCTTCTGGCGCTATAAAGAAGCATTGTTCGCATCATAATAAGTATACAGCGGGATACAGCCAGAAAATTGATAATCAATAGACAGGTTTGTCCCTAAGTCAACTTTAATAACATCGGGTAAGTAGAAAGCTTTTAAACGGCTCTTTCCTAAAGGCTATTTCCGTTAACAACTCTTTATCGAGAATGCAAAAAAAAAAATGCATTTTTTTATTATGAGGCTTATGAGAGTAGTAGAGTAATAGGATTTTCCTTTCCTTATTAATAATCAATAGAACAAACAATATTGATTAAAGAATGAATAGATTTTTTAGGACTATGGCTATTAAAAATGTATTGCTAATCTTGCCATTGCTCCGGTTAAAGGAATTGTTTCTGTGTAGCCATTCTGAAAATGTTCCGTTTTAATAAGCTTAACTATTACAATAATAATTTATTTACTTCGATTTTTGCCGTAAATCGCCGCCAACTTTTTCTGTTAAGAAAGAACGGCAAGAATCAGCATCTTTTGGAGGTTACTTCCAAAAAAATATTTTATTTCAGCATATTTGTCCGTTCGTGAAACCACTCGTTCAGAAATCATCGGAATCTGACATCCGCACCCAGCTTAATTGGGTTAATTAAATGAGATATTCAAGATCGTAAAGCTGCATCCAAGCAATAACTTGCGCCTCTGCGCAGACTTATACCAGTTATTTAAGCTTAAATACATTATAGTGAGTGTTTTGAAATATATGCCATTGACGTCTTTATAAGCAGCAATATATCCACCTGTTTAATGGTTAAGCGCATTCTGTGAAATCAAAACCTTGAAAAAACTATGCTCTGCTTTCATTGAGTTACTAGTCATAAAACATGAAGTTTTTGATAGCACATCTCCGGTATTCCAAAACAAAAAAGAAGAACTCTTATGAGATCTCTCGCTTGTTAATCAATCCATTTATAAAACACACTTTTTGCGGGCCACTCTGATGCCAATCTAAATGAAAAAGCCATTTATTATGTACGGCGAGATTACTATCCCTATGTCCTTCATCCATGTCTTTTAAATCCTTACTTGACTTCTTTTTTCTTCCTGGGAGATTAAAGTGGACCTAGAGCATTATAGTCGCTAACAAATTTAAATGAAACAGAAAAAAATCGACAAAGTGATCTACTGACTTATGGTTAACCATACCTATTAAAACTCCTACTTAAAACTGTTCCAATGTTTGACAGCATCAAATGGTCCTTTTGTCTTTTTGATATCTTTCGTGCTTATACTTGTCCTCATTTTATCAATAAGCGGTTTTATTTCTTACAAAACATTTGTTGTGCCTCTTTCTCTCCACGCAATCAAAGCTTGCGACATTATCTTTATGTGCCTCCACCCGAAATGACGATCCAATAATTGACCAAGCTCGCGGGGTTTCACACTTTATGTACTGATTAGATTGGCTGCATTTCTATCATCCGTGCAATTTCTAGTTGTCCTTATTCACAATCTATCGTGACAGTAAACTGACTTTTTTGTAGTTGCTGAAGACATAAGCCTCGAAAGGTAACCACTTGCAACAAACCAAATCCATGCTGCTAAATTATCCTAAATGATCGATTCTGCATTTTGAGTTGCTGATTCTCGTTAATGAGAATTGAGTTAGTGATACTAGCGTTATACACATACATATCCATATCGATCATATCACAAACATTTCGTTGTAAATGCAATGAACATGAAACCCTCTTCAAAACGGAAACAAACAAGTACCATCAACCGAAAATGCGATTATATCGTACGATAACTCGATAACGGGGACCGTAAACCGAGCCTTGAATCATTAACAAAGCTAACGTCCACAACAACAAACAATTGACAATATTGAACGGATTGCTGCTTCAGTTGTTTGTGGAAAGCATACTAATTAGGTTCCACATCCACAATACGTTTTGTATTGTCAGTACGAATAAGTAACCGCTTTTGGAACTGTCGAGTCATAGTGAGGAAATAAATGCTCTCAAAAGTTGTCCTTAGATTTAATGAGCGTTTTCCGGTTACTTTAGGTTACTGAAGAATTTCATAATACCGATGTTGCCGTTTTTTGCGTCGTTTTTCTTCTGACATCCACTTACCCCGGGTTGTACCAGTGCGCAGTACAATACACTTGACGTGAATAAATTGCCTTGTTTGAATCGCTCGCGGTATTTATGATCGCTGTTCAATTAGATTTGTGGTTTTGAAGGCTTTTGCGATCAGATCTGTGGCTTTTTGATAAAACTGGTCACCTTTGTTTCATTCTTTTTTTTATGGTCTTCCTCTTCAGTTCTTCAAAAAAAAAAAAAAAAAAAGTATATATATATAATAATATACATCCCAACTCTTTTTTTTTTACCGCAGATATGTTCTTTGGAAAACGTACACAGACATATGCTAAATTTAGGGATAAGTCTTATAACCTAAAAAAATCATGTAGGATGAGAGCACTGTAAACAAAAGAACCTGCAAAAAACGTAATAATGAAATCCATATTACATGTTTATAAAATAATAACAATTAATTTTTATTACAAAAAAAAAAAAATAATAATAAATAAAATAAAAACAATAAATTAAAAAAAATTAAATAAAATTAGCGTATAGTGAAAATTCAGTCGAAAAGTACACCAAATAAAAATATAAATTGAAATTAGGAATTAAAATCAATTTCGTAACTATTCATTTCTAATCGATCACGATTGGACCAAAAATGCTCTCATCAGTAGATTTACCAGATATGTCTAGCATAACTGTCGAACTTCATTGGAATAAAGAAACGACCCCTGTTATGTTTTTGTTGCTACCGACCGACCGATCTGCACTCACGGGCTTCCCCCAATTGTACTTTGTTGCCGTATACACACAAGTGTCTCCACGAAACTGCCAAAATTATGAATAAAAATAAAAAAATGTTTTTCGAGATTCATGCTACAACAAATAATCCGTGTACAAAATTAGATGTGTTTTTATTGCTGAATGATGTTCTTTCAAAAGCGGATAAAAAGGGGCGTGTAAAAAAAAGTTGGGTGTATAATAAAACTAATAATAATAATAATAACAATAATAATAAGATAATCAATTCAATTAAGAATATATTTTTTTCAAATTGTCTTACGAGAAAGAGCGAGAGGGAGAGGGAGAAAAGCTATTTTAGAGACTTTGTCGAAGAAAATGCCATCTTTTTAATAGCACCTTAGCTAATGATAGGTTATAAAACAAAAAAGAGTTCAGATTTTATTTAAAAAACAATAAAAGTATAAACATGGTTTATATGTTTTTAATAAAAATTAAAGCAGTTATCGTAAATTTATGTAAATATAAAAAAAAAAAAAAGAAAAAGTTCTTTCAGATTTTTATACATATGACAAACGTGTTTCGAATAAAACTAATTAAGAAAAAAAAGTGTATTTTTAATAAATAAATATAATTTTTCCAAATATATATTGTACTCCAAGCCTAAGATACTTGTGTGGATGACTTCTCAGAAAATGTATAAACAATTCTAATTACACCTTTTTTTTTTTTTTTTTTACAAATTACATAAAAGTTGTTAAAATCGAGAAATTGACACTTTGATATTATATTTATACAGAAATTCCTTTTTTGCTTTTTTTTATAAATAATTTTTTTTTTTTTTTTTTCTTTTTTTGTGTTTTCGTTTTTAATTTATTAAAAAGAAACAAAACTTTTCACATTACTCACTAAATTATAAATTTTTCACTTACAGTTTTAAATTTATTTTTCATAATTAGAAAAAACAATAATAATAATAATAATAATAATAATGTATTTAGAAACAAATGTTTAATGCAAACCCAATAAAGCCGAAATAAAACAGAAATTAAACGAATCTTCCGTTAAATTAATCAATTCAGCATTTGTGGGAATTTTATAATTATCAACATCGTCGTCAGAATCATCACTAATATTATTTTTGGATTTTAAAGTGCCATTGCTAGAAATGGTGCTGATTGTAAGGTTTGCATTATTTGTCTCTGTCGACAATGAGGAGCAAGAGAAAGCGCGATGACAATAACAAAAGATTCGATCTTGTTTTTGTCGTAGATGTTTGCATTTGTTATATGAGACTTTTTTCTTGATATTATTGTTATCATTATTTGAAATATTATTTATTGATTGTAGGTATAGAAGAGAAGTTCCGGATAGAGGTTTTGCGTTTGGGTCGTTATTGCTAAGGTTACTCAATGTAACATGTCTTTGTACTCCTCAATCGATATCGCTATTTTCAACGAATTCTTCATCATCATCGAGATCGCATGTTTTAATACCCACAGCATGACGATGACCGCTATTATTATTATTATTGACACCGCCACCACCACTCCCTCCACTACAGTGCGGGGCATTTATGTTCGCGTTTGATAAGTTGCCAACCTTGGCTGATGAGCTGCTGGTAATAGTCGAGTTATTTGCATTTAGAAACCCATGTTGTGAACTATCATTCGTTAATTCCAAAAACTCGTAGGAGGGCATTTCATCATCTGAATCATAAGTAATATCACCAGTAGCTCTACCATTGCCGTAAGCTATAAATGTATAAATAATACCAGAAAAACACATAAGATAGTCACAGTCTAATTAGTAATACAAAAACTATAAACACATGAAATATTCCCTAACGACTTGCTTTAAAACAGGGAAAAAGCGAAAGGGAGGTTGTTAACTAATCTACACTGTTCCATTTAATGCAATTCTTCACCTATTTTCGACATAAATTGTTGGAAAATATTTTTCAATAAAGCGTTTACAAGGAAGTGAGACCAAATATGGATTTCCCCCCATCCAAATTTTGCGCTATGAATTGCACTGCTATGGAAGCATGTCGCTTTTCCAAGATTTTTGACGAGAAATGTTAAAAATTGTAGCTCTTTCTCTTACAATGCTATTTTTTTGGAAAGGGACACTACATGGAAAATGGTTATGCAAAACATGGCTCGACTTTGGTTTAATATATGTCAGCTTGCCACGTTTCATCAAAGTATTCGGAATATTTGCGAGCAGTGCGTTGATCGCACGTGCACTTGGTAACATATCGGCGTACAAATGGACAGACAAGATTAAATTGACTCAATAAATCGATTCTGAGTCTGAATATAGAAAAAGTGGATCCATTGTAGATCCCATACAAACTGTGTACAGTCATGTGGTGTAAAATACGGGTAAAATAAAGCTAGAACAGTACATTGTATGTTAAGTTTGTGCGGGTGCGTGGAACAATCGTAAAGATTGAAGATAGATCCAACTTTTATTATGCCAATCGCATCTGAGTCGAATTAAGCTGCTTGCCTGCGTCCATGTGTTTTTGTGTTCAACTTATGCGTTGCATTTTTCGTTACATTTTGACGAAATTTGGTGCACTCCCATATTTTAACCGAAAAACGAAACCTATTGAAATTGATTTGGATCGGACCGCTTTTACGATCACCCTCCCTATAATGCCTTAATTTGAAATTAAGTGCAAAACTTGCGCCAGTCACAGATAAGTATTTTGAATAGTAATCGAAAGACAACTTCAGAGGTAGGTAAATGAATAAAAGAGCTACAAATCTTTATTTAGCTTAATGGAGAAGGTGCCAAGAATAATAAAAAAATTCTTTTCTATCTTTAAGCTTGTTTTATAATTAATTGCTTTTTCATTAAATAGATAAGCGGCGCGTCCCTATCCTATTCTACGTTATACGCAGTTCCTATCTGAACTTCGCAAACACAGAAAGGTACGAATATTTGAATAAATGAAAGATTTTCATTGACTAAAGGTCTTCCCTTATTTAAGAATATGATAATAAAATATAATTGCATTAACTTGACATTCGATATGAAGAATAATAAGAAATTTTTATTGAGTTCAACTTACCTTCAACATATTTTTCAAAATTAGGAGGAACCAATGTTTTGGCACGTTCAATATCCTCATATGAGCACTGGCCCTTATCCAAACCTAATCCAAGCAAATAATAGTTTATTAAAAAATTTTTTTTGAATACCGTTGAACAATCTACCGAATAGTAAGCCCATGCGTTTTAAAACCTCCGCATCATCATGCATTTCAAATTTATCATCAAATTTGAAAATGTATTCCGATCTTTAATTCCAAAAGGGGTAAAAAAAATAAATGAACACACATATATATATACATATATATATATTTATATAGATTTATCGTAATTAAAATCGAAATTGTCTTCGGCCAGTAGCGTTTACTTACTTGTCATTTGTTACACTACAATTGATTTTGGTCGATTTATGCGTATTCACTATGATAAAGGGCAATTGTATTGAAGAGTTCGGTGTCGGTATAATGCCTTGCCTTTCTGCTTCCTTATTACGTTCAATGAGACTTTTAAATGAAACCAATTGCAGTAGTAGTTCACGCAATTGCTGATGTTTTTGTTTAATACGTTCACGTCGCTCTTCGTTCTCTTTTTCCATTAGAGAACATTGCTAACAAAATCCCAGGCAAAGCAATAAGTCTTCAAATGAATTTTAAGAAAACAATTACAGAAAAATTATACCTCGACCGTATTGGAGGGTAAACCGATCCAACGTATTTCCTTTTTATCTTTGGATATTATTTGCAAGGCCATTAAAACATTTAAAGCATCATAGACGCGTCGACGGATATTCTTTTGATCACAGTTACTCGAATCAAAGGAATTATTTTGTATTTCCTCGGCCACCAATTCATCGGCGACTTCATTATAGGTGGTTGTGCCTTTCACTTTGACTTTTTCACAAACCTTCAGTGAAAAATGTCGCAAACCTTTACCCGCCTTCTCCGGTTTACGTTTTCTTTGTACTGCTGAGGCATTTTGATGACTGATAGAGTGTCTGAAAGAAACGTTATCATTTTTAATCATGCATCCATCATCCACATTAATATTATTATTATTATTTTTTTTTTTGCATTTAAGAATACTTACAATTTTGATTTTGCTGTGATTTTTGTATTACTTAGATTCTGTTGTTGTGGCTTTATTATATAACGATCACCCGTTTTATCCACATTCTATTAATTAAATAATCAATTTTAATAGAAATGTTTCATGTTCTATACAATTTCTTTCATACCGTATGCTGTCGGCCGCTACTGTAACCTTCCAGAGGTTCATATTTTACTGTTGTACCACCATTATGTTGTCTTTGCATATTGCTATTGACATTGACGTTACTATTGCCAGTACTGCTTTGTGGTGTTATTACCGTGTATGTGGTGGGATCTATTGCATAAAAATCAAAATTTTACGTAAATCTATTATGATATTTTTCTTTTCATACTTACTATTCGCTGATTGTAAATTATAACTATTTTGTATTCTAACAAATTGGGGCTGATTCGTAGTTGTCTGAAATTTGATAAATATAAGCAAAATTAATATAAGCATTAATAATGCGTCTTCATTAAGGGCCGCTATCGGTAAAATCAATTAAAGCTTTACTTCGTTTTCATACAATCAAAATTAACCCTTTAGGCATACATAATAAGAGCATGAGAGATTAAATTTCGCTTGATAAGTATCCAAAAATTTTCCAGTTCCCGAAATTAAATCTTTATGGTAAGAAAATTAATCATTCGAAAAGATTTTTCGTTCGTCAATTCTATTAGATGTTTGCAAGACTTTTGATCAGCGGCTTCTACACATAAAAATTATAAAGCAATGGAAGATACCAGTATACATAACGATTCAATTCGATGGTTTTGATCTTCGTTGACGTAAAGTAACAGTTTTCCCTTTTAATGTAATTGATTTATTTAGCGTACGCCGACGCTACTCACGTAAATCACGCTCAAAATTTTTCTTCATCTGTTGTTTATTTGAAGCAGTCTCCTGTCCAAGTGCACCAAACACGTTCAGATTTTTATGGTGGCGCTTCTTCATCATATTCCAATTGTTGGTTTTGGTCTCAAGGATTTAAAAGTGGCAACACGAATTGACTGGAGATGCCATTGTTTTGTTGAAAGAGTTGTCTAGGATACACTGCTGCGGCTCGAATGGGGAGTTCTGCCACTTCCACCAGCTTACTCAGCAGAAATGGCGGCTCGTGCTTACCGCTTGTTCAGAAGAAATACGAAAATGGACCGATGGATGGATCGCTGCCAAACCAATATAACTTTTTTAAGATAGATATCGTCATGTTGCCAAAAATATTGTAAAATGTTTTAAAAAATGTGCGGAAAATATATTGATCGACAATTTTTCTCAATAAATGCCTTTTTCAAATCAAGAAATTATCAATATTTTTGCAAACAGCCAGAGAGAGTGATATCCCTTACAACACGTTTACAGTTGGAGAGAAGCGGAGAAAGAGATGGGAAGGGGTAGTTGCCGCCACCCAGTATTTTGAAAAATTAAAAAAATTCACACCAAAAATTTCTAACAAAAATTCTTCTGATTTTCGTTTAAAGAAAACCCAGTAGGTGTGTGCCCAAAATGTAGCATCAAAGTTTAGCAACAGAGTATACTCAAGTTACACTGGGATTTGAATCGACGAATACCCACTCGGGACTGTTTACATACTCGGTTAAGCAGGCGGCAGACGTACTCCACTCCATTTAACTCACATTACTCCCGCCACAGAAACAATTTCAGATACATTTTTCTCTCTTTGTGCCGAGGTTTTTCCTGCTTTGCTGTATATTTTGTTGAAAAATTCCTCATGGCTTGGAATCTGCAATTTGCTTATTGAAAGTTTAATTCAATTTTTCGGGATAGTTAGCTTTGCGTAAATTGCCTAACGCGTTAATGGTTAATCTATCAAAGCTAACCCCGTAATGAACGATTGGGGCTGACACACAGCACACAATACTATTAGTGGGGCATTTTGCGTATAAAGGTGCCAGACTAACTACGTTTCCAACGTTTTATCTCTTCGTGGGGAAAAAAACAATTGCTTACAACTTCTTCTTATACTTCTTGTAGAAAGACCAACAAGGTTATGAAGCAAAACGCAGATGGAAGAATTCGCTCTTTGAAGATTGGAAAATCTCCATTAGAGTAGCTGCAGTTCAAACTAACCAAAGAAAGAAGTTGAAATCATATTTTGTTCATTTGAAGTATGAAATTCATCGGCATCCGGCTTCTTATCCAAGAATTTCTCTATACGAAAACAAATTTTCTATGATCATTTGTATGTATATGGGTTAAATATGCAAAATAGCTCCATAATTTACAACAGATTATTTATTAAAAACGCTACTGGAACTTAACCAGGTTCTCTACAACTTCTCAACAATTTCCATATAGCGTTGACTTGTCATCCTGGGAGTAACTTGACGACTTTCCATTCCTTATCGGTTTATCAGTGCACCGATCATTACATCCTAACAAGCGAACTCAAAAGTCAACAACTCTTTTCCGTTGTACATTGCAATTTCTAAGATTATTAAGGCTTTTCAACCTTTTTCAGGGAGCTTTTGGACTTCAAGATGGATTCAATCGATTTTCAGTTCTCATCTGTTGATTGTAAATCCAAATTTCATGTCTTGTTCTTAATTAAGTATAAAAGCACTGAATACTTATATGATACACTTGAAAGGATTCCTAAGAAGAATGGAAAAAAAAAAAAAATCAAAACATGTTCGCTATATAGTATGAGCTCTTGACAAACCACATTAGATCGTCAGTTTAGCATAAAGAAGAAAAAAAAAAAAAGTCACCGAAATGTCGAACTTTAATGATATTTTCATGAATTGCTTGTCATTTGAATGCTCGTAACTAATAACAAACAATCTCTCATTCTTGTATCGATAATTTAGTTCCCCCGTTGTGCATTATCTTCTGATGCATCCGACTGACTGGTCAAAGGCGAAGAATCTCAATTAGCAGCTCAATGGTCTTGGGTTCGAATCTCAAGTGCAGTAAAGTTTTTAATAAAGCCGATAGCCTTAGATGCTAGTGCTTTACGACTTTAGTCTTACAGTTTAGTTCTCTAGCTAAATTAATAATGCTTTGAGGGAAACGATTTCGAACGAAAAATTAATATATGTATTTTGAGTCATTTAATAGCTCGTACTAATAATTTTATCCCTTCAAAAGGAAACTATAATGATAATTTATAGACATGTGATAGAAAAAATAAAGCAAAAATTTTTTATTAGATAAAAAAAAAGTCTCCAAAGTTTAAATACCATTTGTTTGATATTTAGTTATATCTATTTTTGGTTAACTTTCATTTAGTGGGCCTTACTTTATTTATGTTAAAGTAAAAGTCATTCAGTTTGTGGACTCTAAAATTTTGTTAGAGGTGGACAGAAAATTTTCATTTGTAACCAATAGCTTCCGATATTTCTACTTGTGGCGAAATTCTTCTAAATTAATTCCCGGAATGCCACGTGAACTAGTTCTTGCAGTAGAAAGTTGAGAGCTATTATGTTGCTTTAGTAGTTTTTTCAGCTGAACAGTGAAATAGGTGCGTCCTCTTTATGATTATGAAAAGTAAAGTGTTTTGTGATACTTTGTTGTAAAAGAGGATGATTATAAAGACAAATCGTATTGCTTCAGAAGGAAATGCTATATCATAGCACATTATTGACGGCTGACTTATCACCTGCAAAATTAAAGGAAAACAACATAGCCCTACCATTAGGTCGGTCGTATCATGAACGTATCACGAACGCTTCGAAACTTTCGAAAAACATGTTGAGAGAGATGTGCAGCAATTAAAAAACTTCTCTTCGTTCCGATAACCGCATGATAATTTTTAACAAACCGAGATGCCTTTAAGTTGGCAAAAAGAACAAGCCACTGCTATAGAAATTTAAATAAGATAATGATCGGCGTGAAAGTGAGGTTCGAAGAGCATAGCTTGGATGCCACTGAATGGACAAGTCCCGGCTTCAATTCCTGTTTGAGGTAGACTAAAGCGTCATACTCCTTCTACTAATAAAGAAGACTTGTGAAAATATATTTTAAAATATCCCAGTAGAGAGATCTGTGATAATTAATTTTATTCAAGCCTAACAAAATCGAAGCTATTTTTAAAAGTTATAACGGTTATACCAGCTGTTGACTCTCTAAATCGAATTCTATAAAAATGATTCCTTTACAGTACAAAATAGAACAAATTATATATATATATATCAGGTTTTTGTATATACATCTATTCTATTGTCCACCTGAACCGAACCTCTTTTAAGTTTTTGCTTATATTTAAAATAATTCCAAAACCATTCTTACATACGGAAATGTTTCTACTTTATAAATAAATGTAAAATATTGTTATGTAATAGAAGGAAAATGAAAAAGAATATCGCCGATCAACTTAAAACAACCTACTTTTCGATCTACTGCTGTATATGTGGATGTTATGCATGGAATAGAAATAGATTGTTATTAACATAAAAAAAAAAAAAAAACAAATAACAACAATTACAAGTCTCCCACTGTTTTATTGCCACAAGTTACATTTGATTTTCAAATGTTCCCAATGCATAGAAATGGATACCGAACGCGCTCGACTTGATCTACAGGTACATGTAAAGCTGCAACGCTTTTATCTGTTTAAAGCACGATTACGATTTTAAAACTTTGGCCGATTAAACATTTTCTCAATTTATTCTTGCCGAGTTCAGAAGTCAACAGAGCAATATGGTTCAACTCTACCTATTTCTAAATTACTTTTAGTTAAACGCAGGTTAGTAATTCGCATTTTTTCTTATTTATATTTGTTAATAAATTTTTGTTCTCAATTGGAATAAACAGTCGTACCATGACGTCAATGGAGATCTCCTATCATCACGCAAAACCTTTAATTATTTATTTATATTTTTCCTTAATCGCGCTTCCGTACGAAATTCCATTATTGTTTATTATTTTTTTGTTAAACACGAAATTTGATTTTAATTTACTTTCATTCTTGTGCGAAAGACATACGATACGTCTCATTGCTACTATTAGGCGTTTGCAAGAGTTTTGATCAGCGATATGTACAGGTGAAATTATATAAAGAAATGGGATATACCAGAATTCGATGGTTTCGATCTTCCTCTACATATAATAACAGTTTCCCACTTAATATTATTTGATTTATTCAACGTATGCCGACGCCAATCGAGGGGAGTTCAAAATTCCTCTTGCTGTCGACAAAAGCTTATTGTGATGTTACTTCATCATATCCTAGTTGTAGATTTTAGTTTTAACGGTTTAAAAGCGGCGACACGAATTGACTGCAAATGCCATTTTTTTGGCCACTTGTTGCTAGAGTTGTCCAGAATGCACTATTGCAGCTCGGATGGGAACTTCTGACACATTCGACGTACTCACTAGACACTGATTACCACATGTTCAGATCGATGCAGCATAGTTTGGCTGGCAAGCGGGTTCACAAAATTAACGAAGTGCGAAAATGTGTCGGTGGGTGGATCGCTGCCAACCCAAAATAATTATCTCCATCGACATGATACCGTCGTCATGTTACCAAAAATATTGTAAAATGTTTTAGAAAATGATGGAAACTATTTTCATTAATATATAGTATATTAATTTCCCACAATAAATACCTTTTTCGAGTCAAGAAATGATCAACATTTTTGCAAACGCTTAATACATAGTAGTCGTCTTTAAGCAAATTCAAATCAAATATTTTTAAGGCTCTTAGAAATGCATAAAAACATATTATAAATTGCATTATTAAAAATGTAATTCTACGCTTTATAACTGATTGGAAACTTTCAAGAATATATTTAAATAAATTGAATGTTTTTATATCCATTATAAGATATAAATCAGATCTTTCAAATTTTGTAACTAAAAGAGGTACTTGTCAAGGGGACTTGTCAATTATATATGTATCTCAATTAAAACTAATAGCGATATTGATTAAGCCATATGTGCACGTCCGTCTGTCCATCAAGTAGCCAATTATCACTTCAACGATATATCTAAGAGAGTAATCTATTCTTAATTCCTTGGCTTCTACAACCAATTTTATTCAGAAATCAAGAAATTCTAATTCGATTCGATTCAACATAAGTTACGAATTAAACTTGCTTTTGCCTTTTTTATATTCTTTACCGTTTGATTTATTTATTAAATCTTTAAGCTCAGCAACATATTCGTGATCAACGTACGTTTCCTTAAGAAATTTAGTGATTGTCAAGTTGAATGTAAGAAATTGAATAAAAATAGACGCATACTTAGTTCATCGCTGGCTCGCAAACGAAGCCAACGTACATTATTCAACGATTTACAACTTAGTATATTTCCCTGGGCCGCCTAAAAGTTCGATGCAAAAATAGTCTCGACTAAAGACACGCCTTCAATTAAGAAAACTTCAGTTCAGTTTTATAAGCTTATTATTTCCGAAAATCATAGATCCCTCATCAAATCAATGTTGAAGGACAATCAAAAACTCTTCTCTCTTAAAAACGCATAAATCAGATCAGAGAATGATATTCCGTACAAATATATGATTGTAATCATTGCAAAATTTGATCAGATGTTATTACCAGCAACTTGAGTAAAACGTTTTTAAATATTTGTTCAGCATGAAAGTAATCTTTGAAGAAAAAAATGTCAAAATTCTTTGGCGTTGATTCGTAAAAATCATAAAACTCAACTAAACAAACAAACAAACTTGTAAATTGAATTGATGAAAAATTAATAAAATTTATGAGTTTTTAAGACAAAAAAAAGAAAAAACTCAAAAACATTTCAAATAATATTACACGGCAGCGATAAGAAGAAGAGAAGTCTTTCCATTAATATTGCTATCTAGCACAAGAGAGTCGGTATGTTGACCAGGAGGATTGTTCGCATGGCCTATTAAACAATCTTAAGGCCTATACACCCGATTAGACCCCTGACCATAAATCCATACCAGCAGTCCTTACGGACTATGCCCTATGTAAGTCAACGCCAAGCAAGTGATTCGAAAAAGCTATTAACTTGGAGTAGTCTCACCGTCGCACCGTCTGCTGCACCCTCTGCTACACCCCAGAAAGCAGATTCACAGTCCCCCTGTGATTCGTCTTCTGCTCCACCGCAGAAAGCTTCTTCTACCCAACCGTTAATTGATTCAGCATTATCCCCTTCATCTTCATCTTCATCTGCTACTTCAGATTCATCTACATCATCGCAGTGTCAACCAACATCATCAGCTTGTACATCTTCAACATCCACTACATCATCCCCAAAAACATACTCAACTCCATCTACTGAGAAGAAATCTTCCACAGATTCTACAAAACTACCAGAGATTAAATTGCCGAGTCGTGAACAATTGGAGAAGTATATCTTTCGCGCCACCGTTATAGTTTGGGGCACAAGTGTCTACGTATATTCCGTAACGTCGGGGTTGTTTGACCAATATCTGTTAAAGCAGCCAGTTTTGCAACAATATTGGGCTTTGTTCAAGCAGAAAATGGATCAAGCGCGTCAGGAGATGAGATCGAAATAAATAAACTACTAAAAGACTCATTATCTGTTTCTGTATCTCTTTATTTCTCATCGATCAAGAAGTAATTTCGCAAAATATAGTAGAGTTGTCTTTTGTTATTTTGAAGGGCTGTGTCTACGAATATGAACTGATTAAAAGAAGTGAACATATGAGGACCAAATACTTTTTAGACCATGTAATAAAAAGCTTGTTTTCATTCTTGTACTTACCATTTGTGTAAATGAACCAATATTACCGCCAACTGTGGTTGCGTAGATTGCAGCTCCTGATGATGAGCCACTACCAACAGGCTCTTGTTTAATTTCCACTTGTTTTAAAACTTTGATGATTTTACCTAAGAGAAGTAAAATGAAACAATTTGTAAGTAATGTTCTCAGATGAACGGTTAAAATAAACCATAAATAATATCGCACGCACATATATACAAATTTTTTCTTTTTTACAAAACAACACTTGTTATAAATGGTGCACAGCTCAAGTAAAAGAGATAAAGATTTAATAAAAAACCAAACTGCATCCACTCAAAATACCCTAAATATCTTGCATATAATTTTTTCCGGTTGCAACTGCAAGCGCGCTTTTAGCAACATTTTCTATGTTTGTAAAGCAAAGAGATGATAATAGAAGAAAAGAGACAAGACACTAAAAAGCAAAAATACATTGAAATATAGTGAATAGAAAATATACATATATATAAGTGTGTGTGTGCCTGTGCGTGTGCACACATAAATAAAAACAACTATATAAGTAAAACAAAAATGAATGAATTTCTCTCAAACGCAAAACAACTCAAATTTAAATACATATAAACATATTTTTGGTACTTTTATATGCTAAAAAACGAACTTTTTCTCTCCATATTAAATTTGTAAAGCATCTCTCGCCTTAATAGAACACAGGGCAAAAAAGGAAAACAATAAAGTTTAAGCATAAAAACCCACACAAATCTCCGTATGTTTTTCTCTTCTTCTTACGTCTTTTTATTTTCAACACACACTCACACATCTTCTACGTCTCAGAACTTTAACCTAACGAATAATAATAATAACACGGCACGCACCCACCGCGCAAATTAATATCGCATAAACCTTTATTGATGACCATAAGCATTAGATTTGCATTTCTCTTTTTTTTTTTCTTTTTCTTTTTGCTTTCAGCCTTAGATTTCCTTTTGTTTTTGAAGCACGTAATGTATTTTGATTTATTCTAAAGCAACCACTAACTTGCTATTAATCATTGATCAACTATTCGTTCTCTTTTTCGCTCTCTCTCTCTCTTAACATCGTTAAACTCTTTTATCTTCTTATCACTTACAAATGCAATATTAGCGCATATGATTTTCTTGTTCTGTACGCTAGAAGCAATGTTTATTTTTTACCTTCCATTCCTTGTACAGATTTCTATATACTTCTTAAAAATTCTTATAAGATTAAAGCGCTGTTTATGCCTACATGACTTTTACTTATTCGCCGAGAATTATGATGAAGAAATTTTTCTTCAATGATTTTGTTGAGGCCTTTTTCAGGTCTATGTAAAAATACTTGCCAGAATTTTGTTTTCTCTGTTAAGTAACAGCTTCTACTATCAGATGTTTTTTTATGTTACAGTTTACACTTATTAGAAAGACAACATATAGCCGAACTAATGAAATATTATACATCCAACTCAAACAAATTTGTTGTTGCAAAATTGTCATACAAAAAGAGGCAAAGCCGCGCGCAAACTCAATTGTGTATTGTGCGTGCTGTTCGTGTATTGTGTTAATGTATTATTAACAGCTTTATGCATTTTAAGTCAATTTTATGCTAAACTAGGTTTGTGTTAAGTCTGTATAAACAGCGCCTTAGTTGCTTTATCTTTTTCAATTCTTATGATTTGTCATTTGTTATTATTGTACGTTTGAAATATTTGCACTTTAATATTCGTGTTCTTTATAGTATGTAATCAGAATCTAAGAAAAAGTATTGATATTAATGTGAGGGTAACGTCAATTAGATAGATATGTAAGATTAATAATTAACGTCTTTAAGGCTTAATATTTTCTAGATTGCAAAATTATATGTAAAATGGATTTATATCTTTACGAAAATAGAATTACTATATATATGTAAATACGTATAAGTGCTTGTAAGTACGTTCCTAGTAATTGAACGGTGTATGTCGGTGAGTCACGATGGATTTTTCCATCAATTAAAGTTCGTCCATCTAACAACCTACGGGCACGGAAAGTAAAGTAAAAAAGCAAAACTTTCTATATAAATTTATAGTGCGAGAAAATGACTTGATTCGCCCAGAAGCATGCCAATAAAAGCTACAGCAATCATTAATCTGCATAAACCACAATTCCGGTTATTGAAATAACCTACATCCAAGGTTTTCTGTCCATCAATCCTTGCTTCTTTTGGCCGAGTTTTGACATAGTTTAATATACTATTTCACAAATTGACATTAAAAATATGCCCGATTCAAACATATTTGTGGTTGAATATGTCGATTACAAAATAGTTTTAAAGAAAGAAGACAACATTCTAACTAAGATTCATTGCAAGTCGAGCGCATCGCTTGAGCAGTTTCCTGTATTTATTTATAAGAATAGTTCCTACAGTTTTCCGACGATTTAATTAATCTTCATGATCACAAAAATTGTAAACACGTCAAACAAAACTAACAAAATTAACATAGAATCCACGCTTCATTAAAATTTATATACATATATATTATTTATTAAAATTTATATACATATATATAATGTACATAGCCAATTTAAAAAATTTTACGAAATCAATACATGCATTAGTTTCACCTATCCAATTCATGCTTTCATACGCATAGACAGACAACATATTTCAACATTCTCACACACTTCAATATTTCTGATAAGCATTTTTTATTTACGAAAAGAAGAAACTCTTATGTCCTGCGATAACGGATTGATAGGCAAAGATATATCGTATGGCGAATGTTAAAAATTAAAATAATAAAAGACTAACTTTAAGGAAAAATTTTGACACAATTCGATTTTTTCTTTATTCAAGTCCATTTCCACAAAAAAAAAAAGAAAAGTTATCCGTTAACTATGGAAACGTCCATGGGGTTCGCTATACGCTTGAAGTTGAGTCCTTTACGATTTCCTATATTACCATCATCATCACTCTGCTGCGTAAGTACTCAATATTGAATGTTTAAAACTTCATGTAATTATTTAATAATTAACTGCGAGAGAATGATAAAAGATTGAAGGTTGTTTAGGTGGCTGATGTTTTTAATAGACAGAATACACTAAGCACTAAAAACAATAACAACAACAAAAAATATAAGTATTTAATAAAATATGGCTGAAGAAACACGAAGAGAATGTGAAAAGAAAATAGAAATATTAAAATAAAGACATAATAACTGAAAACCGCAAGAGGGGTGAAATGAACGTAAGCTGTTGAAGGAGGGAGGGAAAGAAATTATAGAAATGAATAAATTTTTTTTAAATACTTTAGAATAAGAAATAATCAGACCACATGCGTAGGTCTATGAAACCGATATATAAGTGAATCGCGCTTACTCACCATTTTCATCCTTGTAGAAGTAATTGATTTCATCCGGGGCGGCAGCTGTAGAAAAATGCGCCATTTTTCTTTTTTAATTACACTCGTTTAATAATAAACAGGATATGGAAGCTGTATGCCACCCAATCTTAACAAGAAAATGTTAACCTTTTAACAGGTTAACAAATTGTCTTAAAAACTCTACTCTTTAATTTAGTTTTTCTTTTTTTCTTCTTTGCTGACGTCTTAGTGCCTGCACTAATTTCAGTCTGTGTCTAGCGATTTTCTTCTTCTATATAGAAAAATATAAAAGAAAAACACGCTTCTAATCGTTTACTTATCAATTACTTTAACCACTTTTTGTTATCTACGCTTCCTTTTTATGTAAAAAAAACAAAACCCAACATAAATGTTAAATTAAACTAAGGAGGTTTTCTTTTATCTTTTTTTTTGATATCAGAATATTTTACTGTCAGACATTGTTCATCCTTTTTGGGGCTATTTTCTTTGTAAGTAATTGTTCCTCACATTCATAGATTAGGAGACTTAACTACTTAAGCTTCCGTTTTGGAAAATGTCGTCAAGTTATTAACTGAAGAAAAATTCACTTAAAGTTCACAGTCAGTCAAAATGGCGAGAGAAGGAATTTCCAGCGTTTCTTTTCTTTTTAACACCACACACACCGAAAATATATAAATTTTCAATGACCTATTTACGGCACTAATACTTCACCGATTTTTATCATTCGAACGGCAAAAAATTAAGAAAAATCTGAAATTTTCAAATATGTAAAACTTTTGACGATTGCTACAGTTTCAGTCAATGAAAATGGGCATTGAAATTTTCACAGAATTTACCAAAAGCGTCGTGTTGGATCTAAAGCGAGCAAATGACCCGAATGCAGCTCAGCTGATTAACCGCGCGCCAAACAAGCATCGTTAAATGTTGACAACGCAACTATTTTAAAAAACGAAGAGAAGCAAAAAAAACTTCTAAAAGTAAAAATCAATTATTAATCAAGTCAGTGTTAATAATAAGAATGTAAGATAGTGAAAACGAATGAGTTTAATAAAAGATTGAAGAAATATTTTCAAAACGCGGTTGCTATTCATTTTTTGAAGACTTTTTAGCATATATATATAGTGAACATCTAGTATTTTGACGTATTTTTTGAAAAAAAAACGCTTCAAACGCATTATGCTCTTATTACTCCCGTTTAACTGACAGTTCTCAGTATGGTTCAGTATTGCCAAGCCTAAAAGATTGTGTAAAATTTAGATATAAGCCTTAGCATGGTTTACCTTAATAAGAATTTAAAACGAATGTATAAACTATAGTAAATAAGGCAAATTAACAATTCGCTCATGTAGACAAAAAAAAAAGGTTTCACACAATCGCTGCACTCTTCATCATGGGAAACGGAAATGAATTTTATGAAAACAAAATCCGTCAATTTTGATTACATTTACGTCTTTATATATACGCACGTGCAAATTTAGAGAGCATACGTCACGCAAGTCTAATTAAGGTATATTCTATTGTAACGGCATCCAGTAAATCGCAAAAAATGAAAAAAATTGACAAAAGTTCAATATCTATTTCGTCGCATAACCCTAAGCAAACAATGATTAGAAAAAAAAAAAGAAAAGATAAATAAACTAACTTCATTTAATAAAAAAAATTAAATGAATAAAGAAGTCTCGGTTCTTATCTCTCGAATACTCTTCTTTCAACAGCTGTTTAACGTTTGTTTATTTGTTGTGATCCTTTGTATACACACATACATTAATTTCTTTAAAAATTTCAAAAATTTTGGAAATAGATCTCTTGCGACAATTAAAGAGGTAATTTCGTGTAAAATCTAACGACACCAAATAAACACATAAGCGCATCAATTCCAAACAAGTGAATCAATTCCTAAGCACGTGCAACGACAAAATCAAAAAATAAACAACAAAAATCGTAAACAAAAAATTCAGCCAATGAGAATCTCTATGGAACATACCTTTATGTACTTTCGGCGGTGACAATCCCATCTCCATCCACTCCGTATTAATAAGAATGATGACGAACATCCCTGTTTTAACTTTCTTACCATCTGATTGCAGAAACATTTAATAAACATTCCGAAAACCAATATTTGCAGCTAAATAAAAATATTTGAAGGGAGCGCATTGTTGATAATTTAAAAAATTAAGATTTGCAAACCGAATATCATGAAACCTACTTTGGCAGCAGATGAAATGTTTCCTGAAGGTGCTGGCTACATGGATATGGAAGAGGTAAATATTGGTTTAGTTTGGGCATTAAATTTGGCGAGACCTTGCGCTTTTTTTCCTTTTTAGTCCGGCAGTTCTTCTGCAATTCTTATGGACTTGGCTTCAAATGAAAAGCATGTCCATGCCGATTTCTACAACGATTTCGATGATTTATTTGATGATGGAGATGACGATCTTTTCATCACTAACGAAAATGCTAACTAGTTAGTAATTAACTCTTTCGACCTAAAAATCAAGCTACTTTATATTTTTATACAAAAACTCCTGGAAATGTACTTTTCTCATTTACAATTTATTTCGCAGCTGAACGTTTTTTACAAACTGTTTATAATTATTAAAGAAAAAACAAAAGAAAAACAAAAATCTACAGGAAGGCGAACGAAAAATATACAGTTATTAAAAATACGACTAGCACCTGAAGTAATTAAACACAGAAAAAAAAAAAACGAAAAATGGAAAAAAAAGAATTACTAAAAATATTTAACGATTATTTTTAAATTACAAGTAAATGAAATTAACTTAACGCTTACATCATAAATTGCGTTTCTAAATTTTAAGGGGAAAAAATAACACTAAAAATTTCACGGCCGACTTTAGAGGTGATTACTATTAAATGACATCTTATTTGTAATTTTCTTTATATGAAGAAATTTCATATGAAGTCAATTTCAATATTTAAATAAAGTGATAATAGACTATTAAGGGCAGAATTCATTTTTTGCTTAATGTTAGTGTCATCAGTTTTTAGTTGTGTTTAGCTTAAATTTTTGTTTGTAAAGGAATAATTTTTAAAAAATGATATACTTAATTTAATGGAATAATATTTAACCGTCTAAAGGCGGCCCTAAGTAAACCATAGAGACCTCCGTATTGCCATAAACTGCGGAGACAGTAGGGTACAATTTTTTATCCGGTAAACCTAAACATAATTAAATTTATTTTATGAAACGCAATGAATAAAGGAAAGAGCAGTACAATTTACCTCGAAACGCTACACCTAAAAACTCGTAGTTTTTTTCAAAAGACAATGTATTATCATCGCAGTCTAATATAACACGTATTCTTTCACCCACCTTTATTGAGAAAACCAATAAGTACAGAAATTCTAAAGAAATTATCGACAATATATTTACCTGATACTTGGGGGCATTATTTAATAAGGGATAACCGCCTTGTGCATCACCGTTGTGGAGTAAATGGTTTTCTACTAAATTCCAGCCCCAACTTTGATCGTCTGAACCTAATAAGGCAACATAGCCGTGACACTGTAAAGCAGCTTCTTTTGTGGATATGCCTACTACTGCGACGGTACCTAATGGGCCCTCCCATATTACTTCCCAAGTATGGCGACCCTGGCGAAATCCAATCTTTCCTCTCGAAGCGTCAGTACTTTGAGCTACAGGATTGCTTGAAAGTTGAAAGAAAAGCTTTGATAATAACCCACTACATTCGTGTAACAATTTACCGATGCAATGTAAATCCATTAGGTTTTATGTAAACGTTTCTTGAACAATCATTAGGATTCCAAGCATGGTAAAAGGCTCGCAATTTCATTTTATAAGTAGGCACAGACGATAGAAGATCCGATTTTAAAGCTTCTTCTGGCAACTTACGCATACAATGTGAACGCCATACATCACTATTTTCATCGTCTAAAAAATTGTTCCAACTTCTACACACTAGGGCACAATTTCTTAGATCACTTAAATCCAAATATGAAAATATCACTTCCAAAACATTGTGCTTTATCATAGAGGCAATCAAGTCCACCATTATTTCGAAATGTGCCCGTATTTATAAACTAAAGGAATTCTGCCGCTTAATAAATAGCTTCAAGTGCTTCCTGATTAATTTTTTTTTACACTTTTGTTATTTACTGCCTGATTGCGCGATGCCTCTCTCTATTCCTTCGCTAACAACTCCTTAATTGAAATTAATAAAGACTTATGGTACAATTAGTCAACGACGAATTGTGATGTATTGTAATAAAACTTTTAGAATACGTATTCTATGCTTTTCGTTTTTGTTGACAAAGTGCATTGTACTCACAAACTCAAATTGCTACATGATGCTAGAAAATTTCGGCTAGAAACTTTCTAAAAAACTCTCTGTATTACAAATTAAGTTACCTCAATTAGTTTGACTCTTGATGGCTACTCTAAGTTGCAGATACGCCCTATAACAGTGCGCTACTTAATTAAACAGCTGATAGAATGCGAGATGATACGTTATGTTATTGACTAACTGAGGCCTTAGGCACCCTTAATAAATTACTTCAGAAGGGTTGTAATTTTTGAAGTTGTTTCATTTCCTTATTGCATTTCTACTTGGTTTGTGCCCAAAATCCTTCTCTTACATATTGAAAGGAGTGGTTTATGTCCAAAATCCCTCTCTTATACATTGAAAAATCATTTTAATTTCGGAATTCAATCATATTTTTTCATATTTTATTGTAAATTTTTGGTTAGGAAATTTTTTATTGTCTTTCAAAACGGCTTTCAAGTTATTAATGCCAATATTAATCAATATTTTTATGTGACCACTATGAGATTGGCATTGCCGTAAGCAGGCGTCTGAGTTCAATAAACTACAACTAATTCAAAGTTTTCCGTTTGTGGTATAGGGTACATTGAGTTAGTATGGACATATGTAACATGCAGAAGGGCTTAAAATAGACTCACCTTTTTTTGTACCGATCGATTCAGACTCATAATCTGTCTATCCGCCTGCTTATGTAAATTTGTGTTCAAGCTACAGGTCGCAATTTTTGAGATATTTTGATGAAATTTGGTATAGTGACGAGTTTTGATCCAGGCACCACTCCCCTTATAACGCGTCATTCAGAAAGGACGTTATATAGGGTAAAATTTTAAAAATTTCTTAGTAAACAAGGTTAAGTGGCGTAGGCATTTTGAATTGGTATGAAAACTTTCGACCGGCTGGAGCAATGTTTGAATCCTCTCTCACATAATGAAAGCATTTCAAAAATATGCCTTTATATAGAAAGAGGATATAATTGTTGCGTTCTATAATAAAAATAAGAATTATGTCAGATAATGTGACGTAGGGTATTTAATGGTCGGCCTTGTCCGTCTGCATTGTTCTTACTTGTTTTAATTCATAATATGTTATACATTTAGCATTACTGGGAAGGACGGATATGTAGAAACGAAACTTGGCTTATGGCATATCTGTTACTGTCGTCGATTTCGAAAATATTAAAATAAACTTTTTTCTTTTATATTGTATTTTCTCAGAATTATACAATTGATTACCATTAAGAGATTGTATATCTCTTCAGTTATTGATTAGCGAGCAGTTCGATTAATTACATAAGCAAGATTACTTAGAGAAAGTACCGAAGTCGAAGAAAAACCAGAAATGATTGTCTGGCATCAGTTTAATCAGGGAAAAGTTTCCATATCATATGGAAAATGGACTGAAAGGACCGAAAACCAATTAATTGCAGAAATAAAAAAAAAAATTGAGTGAAGAAATCAAAAGTATCTGAATGAGACAGAATTGCGAATAGAGAGAGTTAAAGCGATATTCTCGCCAAAAATCGATTTCAAGCGTTAAACTACTGGTACCTTCCTAAATTTCGACGATCTTAGAAACAACAAGTGTTAAAATTATTGATATAAACTACTGATGGGATCGCTAGTGATGATTTAATTATCTTACCATGATTTAATACTCTTCCATACGAATGCCCTCGTCGACATAAGAAAGCCATTATCATCACGTTATACCCGTTTGTTGCTTCGGCAATGAATATGGATTCTGCATCAACTAACTGAGAGAAGAACAAGAATATCTGCCGATCAATTTGTGCTTCATTCCTTTCCAGATTCACACCCGGATGGTGTGATACGGTCAATATCGTTTTTAATAATCAATTTCAGATAGAACGACAGGTATGTATAATTGAAATACGTTTTGAATAAATTTTCTCAATGAATTTACCGTAAACGCTCTGAATGACTGATGGACTTCAATTGACTAAGATTTAAAAACAAAACATACAGTAAAGCTTTCAAGCAAACGATCTGTATAACTCAATTTTATTTTCATTTTATATATTTATTTTTCTTTTTGTATATTAATAAGAATTTACATCGATTAAAAACGTGTTTACAATTAATTTGAATTCAAATTGAATAAAAAAAAAAAATGCAAATACAAAGAGACAAAGAGAAAATGCAAAGATTGTTGTGGGCATTATTTTCAAATTTGTCCAAGCATTGTAAATAATGTTTCTATATATATATATTTTTTTTTTTTGCATGCATGTGTGTATATTATGTTTTTGGGATTTACAGGAACCATTAAAATTGAATATTAAAAAAAAAAGTATTTTTATATTAAGCGCCGGCACCGTCACCGACCATCCGTAAACAATGGAAGTGAGCATAAGTGATTTCGCGAATCGCAAATAATCTTAACCCTTTTGTGACGGGTGTCGTGTACATACGGCAAGCCCGTATGCAAGCATACATTGATGGCTCAATAGGACTTAGCCACGCCATCACAACTGGTGTGGCGTCACGAATGTGTTAATTTAGCGTGAATTTCTATCTTGACATAGCCATTTATGATGCGCGCTTCAGACCGAATGGTTTTATATTTTTTCCTTCTATTTTCAAAATGCTGGCGATCAAAATTTTGATATGAAATTGAAATCAGATTTGAGAGCGCAACAGGCTTACAATCATTTAAATCGCCAAAAAAATGTTAGAAGAACAAGGCGAAAATTTCAATTCTTTACAATCTTTCGCGAAATTCCGTGGAAGCTTAACAATGCCAACTGAAAATTCGGTGACGATCGGTCCCATGCTTATGCACTAATGAAAACGTTGTTCTTTTTCTTTCTATATTTGCAGTGAGGGGCTTTAAAGTGAACAAAAGCTTCATTATTTATTTCAACAATACACTGAGAGTTATTAATAAAATATGATCAATTTTTTTTTTTTGAAATATTCGAAATTACGTAAATATATATACTTTTTTGACATATATCTTAACATTAAGTCAGGTAAATTTTTATTATTATTTTTAAACAATAATTACAATATTTTTTAAAGGTTTTTGAATTTTTTTAGAACAAAGTAACGCATTTTGAGGTTATGTTTTTTTTTTTTTTTTGCTTACATTATTTTCTTTAATATGTTATTTTTTGTCATTTGTTATGAATTTCTACTTTTCTTTTCTAATTTTGATTCATTTTATATATGCTTTCTGCTTTTTATCGTTTTATAAAATTTTCTTTTATGTCGTCCTGGATAAGGGGATTTTAAGTATGCAACACCTAGAACGACTTAAGGCAGATCCACCTTTTATTATACCTATCGATTCAGAAAATGATTCTAACTGAGCTTATTTGTCCGTCTATCCATCTGTCCGTCTGGTTCTTGTGATACAGATAGCAGTAATTGAGATATTTTGACGAAATTTGGATAAGGGGAATCGGCAAGTTTTGGCCCAAGAGCGAGCATTATTGAAAACGGTTCAGATCGGACAACTTTTGTGATTTCATATAACATCTTATTTTGAAGAAACGTTTTACGGAAAACTGCATTAAGCGAAGTTTTTATTGGTTGTCTCTGTCCCACTATACTGACTTCACGTGTTTTTTTTAATATTCCTTGTTTAAGTCTAACGGAAACCAAGGGAAGCAGGTTTTGCAGCTTGTGGTTATTGTGCGAAAGGTGCAAGAGTTACAAAATGTACTTTGAAAGTTGAGTTGTTAAGCAAGGAAGAAGAGTTCACGCTATAATCAATCAATATAAAACAATATTTATGCATGTTACACTACTGAAGTAATTTCGTGACCAAATGTTTTCGTTCACGTAGCGCGATCTTTATTAGGTTTCAAGGTCTTTGCAAATTTTGCTGTCGTGAATCTTATGCACACATTACTCTAACGAATACGCGTCTATATTATATATGAGAACCCTCTGGTAAAAATCTTTTCAGAGAAGTTTGCCATTCGCAAAGACGGCTTCTTACTTGTCGGGTTAAAAAGTCATAAGAAATTAACTTGCGAAAAAGGATTCGATCTCTCAATAAAAGTTATGGATAGTTGCACAGTAGCAAGAATAGCGTTATAGGTATGTTCCCCATTCATCCTGAAGGCAAGTTTTTTTTGCTAGATTTTTTTTATTTCAATAAATGTTTTGCTTTATAAATTTTTATTTTGTCTTATACGACGTCAGGTCCAAATTAAAAGTGCATTTTAAAGGAACTTTTTGCGGAAGTTCCTATTCATTAGTCTGGTTCATTACTTTACAGAACTGGCCAGATCTGAGGGAATTATTTTTGTAACAAATGGTTTTAGTAGATTCTACTTAATAAATATAATGTAAATGTAGTTTTTATTTTATTACTAATTATTTTTATTTTTTTTAACTTACTTATTATATTTGTTGATTTCTTTCAGGTTAAATATTAAAGGACTAAAAACCCGTATATGTTTAATATTTGCCACAAAAGACCCTTACGTATATGTAAATACATTATTACTAACATGTCTTGAAAATACACTGAGAGATTGTCGAAAAGTCATTTTTTTCATTATTTTTTTTCTTTTTTTTATGGATTATCATAAGTTTTCTGAGGTTAGATTTCTTATGTTTATTTTTAGATAAAATAATTAGTAGTAGATTTAAAAAAAAAGACAAAATTTTTGTTTCATGAGCTTTTTTTTTTGATTTTTGTTTGGAATTTTATATTACTGATTCGATGACATGATTGAGGTCGGTAGTTTTGTTTTTGTGGTATAAAGTGATCAATTTTTTTGGTTTTTTTTTTCTTTAGAAAAAAAACACATAAATATATGTGACAATAAATTTCAATCTAACTAACGGGAGAAAATTTGATTTTTGTAAATTTTCTATAAGTTCATATTTAGTCTACACCTTGAGTTTGATTTTAGAATGCTGATCCATATGTATGAGTATTTTTTTAGTGGGCGTTAAGAGATATTAACATTTTTTTGATCGTTTTGAAGACCTGTACAAATTGGTTTCAAAATGATTATATAGAAGTATTTAGCGTTTATATTTTGATCGTCATAATTTATGGCAACAGGGCATTTGCTCAAGGAAGGCAGATATAGTAGATCTTTAAAATGCCGCAACTGCTAGACTGTGTTATTTCTACAAAATCAGGAGCTAATGTTTTATTTCAAATTTAAAAGTTCGTTTACGTCTATTAAGTTTTGCGTAGTTATATTGTGGAAACTTTAAGTTTGGTTTACACGGCGAAAATTGGCAACAGCGCATTCACATATAATATTGCAAAAAGAGGAAGGATGCATAATATTCTCAGTTCCAAATGCCTAGGCTTAGACTTAGTTATATTTACAAATTTTAGAATTGTATCTATAATTTGCTCAACTATTCTTTTCGACGCAAAACATCGGCCGAACTATCTATTTTCATAGCTATGTTTAAAATCTATGTTTAGCTTTTAAGCCTGACAAAAGTAAGTTCATTTAGAAAAGATCAAAACAAAAAAAGCAAGTTTAAATCTTCGTTCCTTAGTTTTTGACGTAGTCTCTAAACTCAAAATGTGCCTATAAAATGTTTTTTGCTTTGATTTAAAAGCTCTTTCCTGCAGTTTCTTGTAATCGTTTACGTCTACTATCCCGGCGACGGTAACGTTCAATGATTCGGCTACGATGTCTCTCGTTAAACAAAGTCTCTGGTAAGCTATCGACTTTTTTTAAAACAATTCGAAAAGTGAATGTATGTTTTGGAGAAGCACTTGTTGCCCGCCTCGGCGATGGTGGCTCAAATTCACTGCTACTAGAAACTCCGGCGCTACCACCACTCCCAGCAATACTTACAACTTTTGATATGCCGCTGGCGTAACCTGTAGGTGTGGACATTGAACCTGTTGAAAACTGTTGAGTGAGAATTGAACTAGGCCGTGGTTCGAAAATATTGGCACATCTCTGATCTGTACATAAGAATGTTTTCACTTCTTCTTCTTTTTGTTTAATAGTTATAGGAAAATGTTTTTTGGTGGGATCAGCAAAAGGACTTATGCGTTGCGACTGTTGCTGCGATTGGATCGTTTCAAGGTGATCATGGCCGGAATGCGGTGGGCAAGATGAACTGGAATCATAACTGTCTCGTGAACTATAATTAGAAGAAGTCTGAGTAGATAGAGGACTGCGTGCTCTTGAAAAGGCACCGAATGGTAATATATGTAGGGAGCGAAAATTTTCCGCTTTTTGTTTCTTTGTGATTGGAAAGTTACGTGATCGAACTGGTGTTGGTTCAGAGGGTGTGTAGTCAAAATGAGTTTCTAAAGAAGATTTTCTGCCGCACGAAGATGTCGAGCGTTGAAATGTCTCGGCATCAAGGAGTTCAATCGAGGATTTTCTTAGATCCACACTGGATTTCTTTGATTTTTCATCTATGTCTACCATTTCAAAACTAGAACTTTGATCTTCGTAACTAGTCGATTGATAACGGGAAATATCAAAACTAGTTTCCCTAGAAGAGTACGGACATTCAAAGCTAGATTCCGCTCGACTTGACTTACGATCACCTTCTACCATTTCAAAACTATCGCCTCCAGAATCTAACCTCTGTAAGTTTATAAGCTCAGTGTCGTTATCACCGGCTGGACTTCTCAAATTCTCCAAGAATGGTGATCTTGGAGGATCGAAAGAAGAGCGACGGGAAGGTGGTACAAATTCTATAATCGGACATTGTAAAGGAGACTTTTCAACAGTTGTGGCGCTAAGCGCAGCTGCTTCTGCTGCTTTTTTTGCCGCTGCTTCAGCTTCTTCAGTTTCTTTGCGTAAAATTTCTAAATTTATATAAATTGGTTCAGGTTTGTAGTCCTTTAAAATTTCAGCTAATTCAGTACGAAAATCCTCGGGTATAACTAAGTCATTCGAATCGGATTCCCGTTCCTCACTGATACGTGGTTCTATGGGTTCTCTGCTTTCAGAACGTCTCTGGAAGTAGTGAATACCGGTAACTTGTGCGTTCTCACTGGACAACGAGACTATTTTAAGAGAATTGTTGATTTCCTCAACGAGGTTGGCTATGGTAGTATCTGTTACTTCTGGGTCGACTGCATCTTCACTAATTTTTGCGTCTGGTTTTTTTTCATGTTTAATGTAAGAATCTCCTACCTTTTCAAAGCGAACATTCGCCAATTCAAATGGTATATCATCAAGTGGTGTGGTACGTCCTGAGTCAGGACCGTTACTATCTGTCACATTTAGACCAGTGGCTGTAGAGTCGGCACTTGCTCTTTTTGAAAAAAATCCGGATGGCATCTGTTTCGTTTTCTCTTCATCGCGACCAGATCGACGTAATTTTAATGACATTTTGGTGTAGTGCGAAAATTTTAGTGACATCTTCGGTTCGAATCCAACTTCGGATATTTGTTTAGTGACAGCACTCTTTGCAGCCGTTGACGAAGCCGCCGGACTGGCTGAAAAAGTACTTTGGCGTATTAGTGGCCCACTAGATGACCCTGATTCAGCCCGCGTAAAGGCATGAGCAAAGCGGTTTGTGCGTGTCGATATATGCTTAGATGGTTTGCGAACAAATGCTAAAATCTCACGCATAACACTTTTCTTTTCTGGTTGTTCCTTTTCTTGTGCTTTGACATCAGCTTTTTCAACCTTTTCCTTCTCCTCCCGTTGACGTTTCTCTGCCTCATGTTTGCTTTCTTGCGCTTTATGTTCTGCGATACGGGAACTTTCTTGTGGATTTGAAACTGTGATTGGAGGGATGGGTCCAACAGGACTCTTTTTTTCTCCTCCGAAGTAAATCGGGGTAAATAAATTAATCGAAGATCTTTTTACTATAGTGAATCCAGTGGGAGTGCGAGCGATCTCTTCCTGTTGTAAACAACTTTCATATGATCTACGTGTCCCATCTTGAACACGGACAGTAGACGTTGTAGGGCTATGCTTATAGCGATCAAAGTCTAAGGGCATTGCGGCACCTATGGGAGAACGTCGCTCTTGCATGTGTAGAATGCTTGTCGGACTTTTTTGATTTTCAGTGACAGGTGTACAAGGTAACTCAGTTTGCAAAGGTAACTCATTGGGCGATTTTAAATGATCGCTCGAAAATGCTAAGGGATTGCGTCGACCTTGCGGACTGCGGTCAGTGAAACCCAAAGGACTACGACGACCTTGAATAAGGACCATGGATCCAGTTATGTCCTCTCTACGACGTTGAGAAGCCCTTAAGGTACCTTGGCGCGAAAATGAAGTTTTCTGCGAAATGCTTCCTGGGCTTTTTGGTTCCGGCTGAGCCAAAACAGGACTCTTTGACGTCAAAGATTCTGGACCTCTAAGATTGTTTAATGTTAACGGGGCTTGTCCCGGACCATATGGGTACATAGGGCTGCGACGTTCACTTGGACTGCGGCGAGTACGAAAGCTTTGTGACTTAGCCTTACGTATTTTTGGTAAAGATTGGTTGTGTTTCTGACGTCCGCTAGTATGTTGGGAGGAAAAGGAGGAGGTAGGGCCATTCAGCTTATGTTAGTTGCTCTGATGTGGGCCACTGGTGGGGTCACTGCTGCCGCTTGAACTCAAAGTTGTATTCGAACCGTAGGGGTCAAGTGAACTTTGCACCGACATCGATCTGCCTTGATTGTGGCGCGCACGCCTCACTCGACTAGAGTTGGGAGACAGTTTTCCGAGGTCGATGCTTTCTGGGTCTGCCTGTAAGTGATAGAATCAGACATACAGACAAAGGAGAGCAAAAACAACGCCAATGGAGTTTGCTTTCACAAGTAAATTTACGTAACTCCATTGACGTTGAATTGGGAAGTTGGGAACAGTTTGTAACGTAATCCAAAAGAGAGCTATGGGAGAAGCCTTGGGAGAAATTCGATTATAGGAAGGAAGCAAAAGAAATTGTAAAGGACATAAACATAAAACGGAAAACTCACCTGGTAAGCTAAAGCATTCATTATTATGCTGTAAGGTACCAAACCTAGCGGATGAATTTCCCGCATTAATACATTCGCAGGAATTTTGTGAAACTGAATGTATTCCAAAAAGTTGCCTAAAATCTCCTTCATATCAATGTTCTTGAAAAAACGAAATAATTTTTATAAGAACAAGAGATATTACGTGAATTATTCTAACCGGATTATTGTCATAATACTTCTTGCTCCACATGAGAGCGGCCTGAAACTTTGTGAACTCATCTGCTCGCAATTCTTCGCGAGCTAATATCAAACGTACCACATGTTGTGGCAATAAAGTGAAACTACCCAAGTTCAGGACTTCATTGCCGTGCTCATCGACAAACTCCAAGACTTTTTGCACTAAACTTTTTGTACATTTGTACTGTATATAACGCTCGGCAGAGGCCAATAAAGCGCACACTGTATCCACATTTATGCAACACTGCACGAAACCGCCACAGGCTCTACGCAACTCTTCCAGACCGTAATAGTCGGCAGCATTCATAACACCTAAAAAAGATGAGCGGCTGAAACTTTTACAAAAGCAAGAGTTAATCTAACAACAAGGATACCTAATAGAGTACGCGGTTGTAGAGTAACACAACCAGTGTGAATATATTCAATGAGTTGACGAAATACATCCGGTTCGAACTCTTCGATGATCAGAGTCTGATGCTGATGACCGGCCGGCTGAAATTGCAAAATGCAATAAAATCGTTCAGACAAATCCTTTCTTAAACTTTGATCGTATTCATATTTACGACATTTACGTTAGATTTACTTATGTATCAGAAAGATTAAGAGACGTATCATGCATTTTAAGGTTATGATATGGTATAAAAGATATGTTATACATTTATATAAATTCAAGCTAATTAACTAAAAACGCAATGTCCTTAGACTTGGTATTAACTTTTAATTACAAGCAGGCAATCTTTATAGATCGATAGAATATAATTCATTTATTTCCCAAAAGTTTATTTCTTATGCATTAATTATCTTATTTGAATAAGAAACCCGATATTACTTTACCTCTGGTATCGGTGTTAATTGCTGAGTAAAAGCACTTTTCTACAAAAATTGATGAGAAATTTACATGAGATTATTATGAAGTAATGAATGTGAGATAAAATCATAAGTCGTTTTTGAACTAAAATAAAAAAAAAATTGCCTATTTTTCATAAGTTTGACTTGCCATAGTTGATGATCATTTACAGGTTTTTGTAGATCTTAGTTCGAAAATCGGTGGAAAACGGAACATGGAAAATTTAGACATAAGAAAAAAATTCGAAAAAGGCTCTTTCAATCTTAATCAACTAATTATCAACTTTTTTTGACCTGTGCAATTGTCCGAGTTACCTTTATGCGTTTATCGAAAGCATTTACAGAAAAGCATTCGCAGTTGGAAAAATCCAAAGCTTTTTTCCAGATAGATGGTAGCGAAAATGGATTTGTCGGCATTGTTGTGATTGCTTTACTTAATATTGGAAATTAGGGTAGAACGTGTCGGCTAAGTGTCCTTCCTCTGCTAGTTTCATAAACGTGAATTCTTTTGATATTAGTAATCCTTACTTCTTTGCTACGCATTGCGATTATTTTAAATTTGCTAAATATTTCTGAATCGCTTTGATAAGACTTATTTCTTAAATATCTTTACAAAAAGAAACCAAAGTATGTTAAATTCGGCAACCGTGGAGGAAAAGTAAACATGAGGGTTTTTTCAGATAATTTTTCGGAATATTTATATTTAGCGCGGGTCAGGCGTTCAATACAAAGTTTCGAAATGTTGATCCAACATTAAGGAAAATAATCTTTTTTTACCCCCCAGAATGGACGAATAGGCAAGGGATTGCAACTAACAGTTCAATGATCTTGGGATCAAATCTCAAGTGCTTACAATAAAATCGATAGACATCCTTAGATGCTAATGCTTTAGGGAAGATTTTAGTAATAATAACGCAAATAATTTTTTTTTATCGTGGGTTCAAATCACAGGCACGTTAGGGTTTGCAGTAAAATCGGCAGCGTTAGATGCTAGTACAAATGCGAATATTTTTATTTGTAGTTTTTGATTTTTTATCAGAAGAAGGATGACACCGTGAAATAAAACTTTCCCAAAATTTCCGCGAAATTTTAAATTAATTAATTTTGATATTGCTTAATAATGTCTATTACATGACAGAGAGATAATTTTTTCAAGGAGAATGATTGAACACAATTCAGAAATAAGTTCGGTGCTGAATACATGGAGCGAACAAGAAATTTATTATAGATGCGATCGTAAAGGCAAGACGAGCGGGTTCGATAAAGAATCTTATTATGGGATATTTTATAAAAATTCTATGAAGAACTTTACGTGATTTATGTCACTCGTATTTGCTTCTGCTTTCGTTGATCAAAACAGAAGAGAAATTAAATTGAGCTCTCAACCCATGTCGGTCACAATATTTTCAAATAATTTTTATTTCATTTGAAGAGTAACGTTTGGAGAATATATCATTCCGAACAACTTTAAAATTTTTTTCAAAAATAGGTATTTCTCTCTTCGGGTTGAACGCTAGTTAGTTCTTCTTATAAAGTGAAGCAATCATGTTTTTTAGATATTTCATATCATGAAAACTGTCGGATTCTTTCTAAACAAAAAGCTTCAACGAGGTGAGCGTTGAAAACAAAAAGGAAATGGAGCGTATCTCTAATTGGCTCTTAATTGATAATGGTATGACATGACGGTCGGACAGATCGGAATATTTTCAAATAATGAAAAGGATATCTATCGGAAAGAAAAGGAGAAAAAACGAATTGACAATGATTCTGAGATTGATATACTTAAAAAAAAAACTGCTTTTAGGCCTATATTACAAGTGGGGTAGCTGTCAACAAAGATAGTAGAAGTTTTCAGATTGCCTTATAGTGACTCTCTTTAATTCCTTTTTTCCTTTCTTGTTTGATTCTCATTTATCTCTTATTTGTTATTCAGTGAGCGAATGTCTGAAATCAGTTAGCATTGCGATTGCCTTGGTATTCATTAACTATGTTATCACATCAAAGAGAATGCAAAAACATTTTCGAGAAATGTTATATATTATGATATTTTTTTTTTTGTTCAATGCACAAGAAGATGTAAAGATAATTTGCGTTACATTATGAAAAATAACAATAGATCCTTTGAAATTTAAAGTAGGCTATCCGTTAAAGAATTTTGCCATCTAACGCTTATGTGAAATCCTCATGTAAAACCTGAGCTTATAAATTGTTTCGTCTTTACTAATTACCTGTTGTGAGGCATTTTGCAAATTTAATAAAGGTTCTGAGGAACGTTTTAGAAATAATCGCAACTTATTCTCCTTAGTTGATGACTCTCGCTTACGTTGTGGAGATGGAGCTGAATAAAGCATTTTTGCGAATACTCGCGAACGAGAAGCTAAGACGGCCTTGAAAAAGAAAAAAATAAAAAAAATGAAAAATATATTATAATAAGAATTATTTAAAACTGACCTTAACTGCGCATACTGGTTCTCGGGTCTCGCCTACCAGAAATGTTACATCGCACAATTCCGGCATCGAAGCCAGAAATTTCATATCCTCAGCCAAACCAGTTTTATTTTCAAATGTTGATAAATCTGGCTCTTCGTCAGCCATCCCGAACAATGTCAACGCTTCAGGCATTTGAATTTCTAAAAAATACATTCATTTTTATATATGGGACATATATGTTTTTATGTAGATACATATCTGTGTACATATATAATTTAATAAAACTAATAACAAATTATTTTAAGTATTTATACAATACATACAAAGTGAAAGAGAAATTCATTAACTTTTGTTTTTTTCAGAAAAAGTTAAAAAACATTATCTTCATGTTTCTTTAAAGATAGATTGCAGGTGAAATATTACAAAACAGTTGGATAGAATCTGGATGGGAAATAAACAACTTGAAATTATAGGTTAAGAACATTTTAAAAGATAAAGAGAAATGTAAGATTCTTTGAAAATTACCGAGCCATTAGGATAAATAAATTTGGAGAATATATTTATTGTGTGAAAACGCATAATGATCGTGAACACTATGAAAGTTTTGCAGCGTCTATAGAAGAAATGCTTAAATTAATTCCTCTCTTGCTCTATTTTAAGTCTTTTTCACACATTGCTTCATCACTTGTAATGCAGGATGCGAGCATACGTAACAAACAGGAAAAATTAAGATAGACTGAATTTTTAATATACCTAAGCTTGTCTGGCCGTCAGTCCCTTCGATGTCTGTCAATGTATCCTGTCTTCAATCTATAGGTTGTTGTATATGTTTGGGTCGGAAGACGAAAGCTATTGGAAAGGGTTCGGATTCGATCACTTCTTCGATCATTCCCCATATAACACCTTCTTTTCATAAATCCTTATAAGAAAAATTATTGTAAATTTTAGAATTTCGTGGCAAAAATCGCTTTGCAACAGTGTTTCGGCATTCTAAGTTGGTGTATGGGGTTGGTGTTGGATCGAATGGGGCAAATTTTTGAACTCCACTTTATATAATTGTTCCAATGGAAACTGAATCTTTCTACGATAAAAAGGCTTATTATTCAATAATTGTTGCTGAAAATTCTTTCGTAATTCTTATCAGACAAAAAAATTAATCTTACTGAGTTTGGACCATATAGGTCTGTTTTTTGGATTCCAAGTCATATAAGCGCTCTAATGAAAAATAAGGCTTTATCTGCCCAAAAAGGTATAATTTTTAATATTTTATGCCTTATAACTTCTCACATATCTATCTAATAATATCTAATCTATCTAATAATCTTAGATATCCAAGTCATATGTCTGTTTAATAAGTTCTCCGACTGCCGGAGAGTAAAAGAAATTGAAACTAGCAGTAAAATCAGCACCGGTTTTTCAAAATATTGAAGTCCTCTCAAAACTTTTGGTTAAGAACGGGCGCATACAGTATAGGCATATTAACATGCTACGCGATAAGTTTTCGAATCTTGGGAAGCAAATCTAATTGTAGACATTATAGCTTTAAAATTACGGAAGAGCGCTCCTGTAATAATTCAAAAATCTTACAGCTTTCTAACGTTTCGAATTTTTTTAGGTCCTCGCAGACATTTGTAAAATCCAATATATTTTATGGAAATCACGTCAAATGGCCTCAAAGGAACCAACTTGATTTTTTAAAAACGCTTTCTCTAAATCGTTTCACCTCGGCTGATTACGGATGTTTAGGCTCGCTGTTGTTAGGTTAGCGATGTCAAGACTTATTGCCTGCTTTACTTAAAGTTCGATGAGATACATCTGTCTTTTTGAGAATGGGTATGTGAGAAGTGTCCATCAGAGTGTCCACCAGAGTGTTATTTATGGAAAGATGTTTTCGCTATTGGCTTAGCCAATAAACTTCTTTTACTCTCGAGGGTATTTAATATTACAAAACGCAGGGCAGTCTTGTGTGAACTAAGCGCGTCTTTACTTGTCTTTCGACTAAGTAGAATTCCTATTATTTGCACATCTAAGAGCAATATTCAACTACGTTTCTTATATGGCAACGCAGTCAAATCATGAATAAAAGGCTCAATAATACTTAGACGATCCATTCTTGTACTCAAATTTATGCGGACTTATGTTATACTTTCCGGGGCAGGAACGCAAGGGGGGGGGGGACGCAGACTAGTAGATGGAAAGCGCTAAGACTAAAAAGTACTTCAATCACGAGGGCTAGGGTGGTCGATGAAACCGATCAGGCATATAACTCCCCTACTGCACCGATACTCCCCCTTTCTCCATATCTTGACCATCACCGTGTTTATTCACCTCTAGCAGACATTCCCTGACTGAATGGACATAAAAAGTAAAAGTACAATATCGAGACACTCCTTCCATTATGTCAATTTCAGAGAATTATTCTCGTATGTCTGTCCGTCCATCTGCCGGTAAAAACTGTCAAACTATTTTTGGGTTCAATGTTTTTTTAAGATTTTTGGGTAAAAATCTATTTTGGCATATAGATGTGGAAAATTTGGATCGAAAGGGATCATTGATCCGACCGTTTTTTTGACTACAATTAAGTCGTTTTATGACAACAAAACACAACAAACAATCAACAAAAAAATTAACTTTAGCAAATGCGTAGGTGTAGGGTCCGCTTTTGGCGTCCGCTTCTGACGTACGGATTTCTACGAAAACTAATCATTTCCCTGGTAACGAGGTATGACTTTTCCTATTAAATGGAAAAAAATAAAGTATTATGTGCGGGGAAGTAATGTATGGTGTATGTGGAGCCGGCATTGCCCAGGTTTATTATTTTTTCTTGTCTTTTCTTTTGGAGTTTTAATGAAGTGGTAACAACACAGGTTAAAATAAGGTTATCTATGAAAATGTATTGCAACAGCTTATGTAAATAGGGTTTGGAGCTATCTAGATATTAAAGTTTTATAAGGTATTGGAAGGGGTAGGCATTTTTCTTTTTGTTGAGACTTGTGACATTTAATTTATTAAAAGAATTTTTGCTTGAGAATAACAACACATTACATACAATACAAAATTATTATAAATACATGATGACATTGTCCTTGTAACGTTACAACCTTAAACCGCAATTATGTCGCTTTATTGACATGTAATGAAGGCGTATATATATGGGCAAGAATAACATACAAAAATCACAAAAGCTACAGGATATTAATGCATTCTAGGAAGGTCGATTGTGTTCAGGTACAAAAAAAAAAGAAAAAAAAAGGAAAAAATTATAAATTGATTATCAAAATTGAAGAATTGTAGAGAAAACTTATTACTAAACTGGTAGAGAAAAGATTTTCAATTTAAAACAATAAAATGTATTAGAAATTCGTGCCGTGTTATCTGATTCATACAAAATATTTGAAAACTTACTTAATACGAAAACTTTAGAGAAATAGAATATTTAGAGATTAAAGAAATTACCTGCGCTGTGGTAGCTTCTAGAAAACTTAAGATATTTTGATTTTCTGACCCCATATGTTTAGTGAAATTATTGATAATTTTCTACATAAATAATCTGGCGCAAAAGCATCTTGAAACGGCAGCGATCCACAATGTTTTATAACAGGTAGTGGATATACAGCCAAGTTGCACTTTTATTTGCCTTAGTTAAAAGCAATGTTCAAATTAAAATAGAAATCTTATTAGATTGGGTTTGCGAATACGTTAGTGTAGATTAACTTCATCGTCGGTTACGAATAGGTTAATATAGGTTAACTTCTTCATCTATCTGATTATATGTAGATGTTTAAGTGCAAAGTAGGTGGCATGCAAAGAAATTTGAAGTACGAAGTGTGTACGAGGATGACCTTTTTTGTCTTTTTTATCGAACTAATCCGCCTCAGATATAGAACAATTGCCCTATAGCTTTTTCTAATGTTCGAGACACTTCGAACATGCGCGGTCCGCGCCTCCTTAATCATGTGAAAAGTCCGTGTTTTCAGTGTTGGGGGCAGAAGTAAGCCGCAGAAAACGAAGACCAATGAATACGATGGCATGATTACGGTATTGTTTTTGCTCAAAAAACTACGAACAAGTAATGACGTGCGAGCTGGGGCATTCTCCACAAGAATTTTCTTCATTGCTTCAACGTTTACGCAAAATATCGCCAAACACATCAGATAGGATGTCTATCAAAAACAACCTAAAAATGCAAAGCGGCTGATGATGTCAACATATGTTGGGGACAAGCATGCCAAAGTCACCAAAAAAAATTTTAATAATCGAGTACGCGAAAACTGTAAATTCACATTTCTTTTGAACACACCTCGTATGCAGTTCAAATTTTCCATACATACTTTAATACATACCCGTTGCTTTAGTTAAAATAATGCTATAATTAGATGAGAGAATATTTTGAAGCCTGAAAGTTTAGACAAAAAGTTCGACTCCTATCCCTTCAGCCAGACGATAGGAGTACTCGGTTGAATGTCCGTCCGTCTAAGTTTGTTTTGTATCACAATTGGTCTGTTTTACCAACAAACCCATTCGATTATACATACAATCGAGTGAAATGTTTCCACCTAAAAGGTTTCCCAAATCCGTCTGCCTGTCTATGCATAACATTTGAAAAAGTTGGGAATTTTCCGAAAAGTATATGTATCCTGTTTCCAAAACTAGGTAACGAGCTATATCAGATATCGGTTCGATAGTTCTTTCTCTTGATATTTGGACGAAATATAAATTTGGACGAAATTCAAAGATATTGAATGAAACTGATCCTTGATGGTTTCGTAGTTAAGTACAAAGATAACAATATGCTCTTAAGACCGTTTTATATTGTAAGAGATCACTACATTAAGTGTAAGTTATGGAGGATTTGATTCAATTCCTTTACATAATTTATAATTCATATAATGCTTACCTGAAGTGATTAAAAAATTTTTTTGCGCTTTAACGGATTTCAAAATGAGATTTTCAGAAATCCGTTCTCTCGCCAATTATTGTATCATATTGGCTGTGTTGTGATGGCAGAGTTACAGAAAGAATCGAAAATTTTTATAAAGTCTTGAAGGGAAGTCATTATTAATTAAAATAAACATGCTTGCAAGCTTAAAAAAGAAAAACAAAAAGGAGAAGAAAATTACTTTGCAAAAGAATTTTAAAAAAACTAAGAATTCTTTAAATTTTTACTGCGAATTAAAGAGGAAAACAAAAAAAAAAAAAAGAAAAAAAAACAAAAATAAAAAAAAGGAAGAAAGTATCGCAAAACAGTTTCATATACAAATCGTGTTTATATCGCTTTGGATTAGGGTTACACTGGCAGATACATTATATCACTGTTTATTACAATTTTCTTTGACTTTTATGACACGAGCATCTCACACAATCAAGCAATTTATACGCATACACATTTACATAGAAATATACAGATGTATATATAATATATGAAAAGTTTAAGCTTATACACACAAAATTTTTTGCTTTTTCATACTTTAAAGAAAAAATGAAAAACTTTTCGTTTTAGTGAAATTTTACAAAAAAAAAAAAAAAACAAAAAAAATTTTAAAGGAAAATAATAGAGAAATTTAAATGTTAGCAAAGTAATAGAACATAAATAAAAGGAGTAAAAAATAAAAGTCCTTGAAAATCAGGATTTACTTTTGTTGACGTTAACTATTGGTTTGGAACAAATTTTTAACTAAATGCTTATCAGAAATAGTTAGTGTTTCTGTTTTCGAATAAACAATAAATTTTCTATATATCCAAAAAGCGTTAAAATAAGCAAATTTTTCTTTTTTTTTTCTTTTTGCCAAATTTTTAAGATTGATAAACTTTTTTACAATTTTTCTTTGTTTTTTTTTGTAATTTTTTTTGTTTTTTATTACTTTTTCAACAAGACCACCGTTCAACTTAAAGGACACTTTTGTTCTATTCCGAGTCTCTACAAAGTAAAAAGTTCTGTTCCTTATTTATTTAAATGATTAAAGTTTCTCTCCCGCGAAGCGAAGCGCATGCCCAGAGAAAAGGTACCAGCAACAGGCAGATTAATGGAATTCGAATAACTTTAAAAGGATAAGAGAAGTTTAAAACTTAGAAATTGGCTTTAAGCCCATTCCATACTAACATGTCCTTGCAGTGCGCTGTAGACCCTATGGAAAGATTGAAATAAATCGAAAGTAAATACTTAGGAAGATTCTATTCATCTGATGGTAAATTCACGATACGAACTTTGCCGCGTACTGTGAGAGTATCATTCGCTTGATCGGAAATATATTTGCATAGAAACACTTGATACAATCCGTTAAGCATTTTAATACAAATATTTAAGTTGACATTTACTTTAAATCGAAAATTTTGTACCAATATTTAAGAACACTAGGCGTGTACTAAACTCGGAGATCTATGCAGAGTGTCAGATCAATTCGTTGATCGTTTGGAATATTCGGCGGACCGTCTTGCCAATTCTCGCCAGTTGTGGAAGAATAATGGAAAAACGGTGGTCGCTATTGTTAGGGCTTAACTTGAAAGAAACTATAAACTTATCTTACTTCCGGACGGATCAGCGGACGGATCTAAAAGTTCGCTTATCCGAAAAGCGACCTATTCGTCCCTCACTACCCCTGTTCTATATAGAATTTTTTTTTTAAACCTGCAAATATCTCTTGGCTATCCCACAAATGGTTATTATGCCATATTTGCTTACCCGAAAGCTAGACCATTCGCCCCTCAGCCACTGTAGTCCTTTGTAGTAAGCTTATGAATATCTCTTAATGATTCGCTTATCCGAAAAATGTACCATTGGTTCCTCAGTGCCTCTGTCCTTTTCCTTGCACTCTAATAAACATCTCTTAAAGCCCGTACTCGTTCCAAGCCAATATCTGCTTGCCCTATAAACCATATCCGCTTAGCATGCTCGTCATTTAGCTTATGATCTATGATATTTATTTTGGAAAAGACCGCAATAGCTTACTAAGCCATGTTTGCCTATTCGAAAAACCGATTATTTGTCCTTGACTATTTGTTATACTTTTTCTTATAGCACCCAATCCCACATGCACTTATTCGAACGACTCTTAGTTGCTCTATCATCTATTGCTAGGACTTTCACTTTTGCAAAACTCGTTTACTTGGCAGAAGAAATTTATGCTGCATGAATGGCATTCCGGGACTAAGAATGGTACTTCTTTTAGATAAGATATATTACATATGTCCTAAGCATTTCTAAAATTGTTTATAAAGTATTTCTAAATTTTGCAAATTTGCTTAGCTCAAAATTGCCCTTTGGGAGGGTTCTAATCTTATTTGAATAAGTTAAAATATAATAAAATATAAAACGAGGAATATATATATAATTGGATTGGATTAAAAACAATTTAAAAACTATTTGTGTAAAATCTATTTAGTTTTCAATTAGTTTGCAACAAGTTTCAGGACATGCGTACTTTTATTGAAAGCAAAAAAAAAAAGAAAAAGAAACTTTTCTATAACCTACTCTTCTTGATTGTTACCTAATGCTTTACCCACGTCTTTACTATATCATAGCACATGTTAGTAAAACATGTATATATATATATATATACATACATATATATGTATATAAATATATATTTTGATTTTAGTTTTGGTTTTTAAACCACTTGTTTGAATTAGAAACGAAAAAAATATGCTTTAAGAGAAATCAAGAGAGGATTCTGCGTACAAGGAATTATTTGTAAAAATTGTAAACAATTGCATCAACTGACAAATAGTTAACAAATTGAAGTGGGTTGCGGTTAATTGAGAATACACATATACTGTGTGTGAACTGTCAAATTTAGTTCTAAATTTGATTTGTTTGTTGTCAGATTCAAGTGCGTTTTAGACAAACAGGGAAATTTATGATACGATAAACTCAAGTATAAAGTAATGAAAGAAATGCTAACTTGCCGATCCTCAGAACTCAAACTCACTTGAAAGCCGTCAATGGCCATGTTTCTGAAAATCATGCACATTTCATGTTAAAAAGGATGAGAATGATTTACAATTATGTAACAAGTAAACAATTGTTTTAGGTTTTCACTACATTCACGCTTTGGCGCCATTCAAATAAGTAAATAATGTTAATTTTACGGTTTATTTGTTATTGAAATGGTTTGTGTGTATGACCTTAGTTATATGAGAATATATAATATGTCTCTGTAAACATTGAAAATTTCAATTAGAAGTGAAGTTGTCACTGTTCACTTCCTAAATAAATTTAAATTTCATTTTTCATGTCAAATTTTTAGATATTTGTCCTTTGCTTACGCATTCATTGATGGCGGATATATTAAATTTCTCATAGTGTTTGTAACACTCAGGTGCAATCTGGAGTGTTCGTGCCTGAAACGCACTCTTCAAATCGTGATACAATAGAGCAAACTTGGTCGAGGCCAAAGTGAATGTTTAATAGATAACGATTTGGGAACGCATTTACTAGGCTGCGGTGTTTCTCTCTTTCTTCTTCCTTTCTTTCTCTTTCTTCACTTCTTTCTGATCGTCATCGTATTATAGGTATAGGGGCAGACGCGCCTTGGGATCCGTTCGATCGGAAAGTGGAAATACTATGAACGGCAGAAGAGACCACTATCCATCAAAGGGCGGGAAGTGCGTTTAAAAATCGTCAGTGTAGTGTGTCCAACGTGATAAATTTTTATGTTGTATTTGCTCGGAAACATTGTCGTGATGATAATTCAACCAATCGTTTAGCGTTACTGAGCTGCAATAAAGAGGCGCTCCTGTGTTGATTTTTAACCATAAGCATATCCGTGACGCAGGAATAGCCAAAACAATGGATTGAAAGTGGAGAAAGATGAAACAAATCGGCAAGCTTAAAGGCGCATTTTTTACGGACGCGAGCGGTATAACTATGTTCAACGATGAAAAACGACGCTGCAAAATATTAGGAGAACTTAGTGGAACGTTCGAATTTGGCTATGAAAACGAAAGGCGTCGCCTTCTAACAAATGTTGAGTGTTTTTTGCTGGAAACAATAGCTCAGTTCACAAAATCAAAGACTTAATGTTTGAACTGTTTTCACTAGTACCATATTCGCCCGACTTAGCTCCTCGATTATGTCTCTTTCCAAATTTGAAGAAATGGCTGCGCATTGAAATGTTTGCCAACAATCACAAGGCACGCTTAATGGCTATTTTAAGGAGCTTAACTCCTTCTATTTCTAAATAATTTCTCGAGGTTATAAACCATCTCTGGGCAAAGCCCAGTTAAGGTATCACGTACTTTTAGTACGAGTCTTGTAAATCATAAATATTTGGAACCTGAGAGGTCAGTATAAAAAATCGATTGGCCATAAATGTGAAGAAAGGAACTTTCCTGCCCTTCTTCGTATTTCTTACCGTCTAGAACATAAGATAACAGCAGATAACAATGCAGCAATAACTTATTAGTACACATCCTAGAATTTTGATCCAATATTTGCTTCTTAAAACCTATGATATTCTTAGAAATAGTAAACGCTTTAACACAAGTAAACGATATCTTACGTTCAGTTACCAAATCTCCCTAAGCGGAGAATTTGTAGGGAGAAATAAGTAAGAAAGTTATTGTCGGCGGAGGCAGAACCTTGTATACACAACTACGACGCATTTCGCATTCTACTCTCCAAGCTGTTTTATTTGATGCCCACATCACAATATATATTGAAATACAATACTAATAACTGAAAACATTCATTATCTTTAGTTGGCCGTTAACATGTCTGTGAACCAACGATACATTCTTCATTAATGTAAGATTGTTAACCGTTTTAGCTACGCTCATTTATTCATAAATTAATTGTCGGTCTAACGATTGCAACAACATATAGAGCATGAATGCTACAACATAACATTTGTGGCTTTTGGTTTAGCAAACGTTTCAAGTTCGAAAGCAAATATACAAATATTGTTACAATTTTGAAAAAATTGAGAAAAAAACCTTAGCAAAAATGGAAAGTTTTACATTTGGTCTCATAAGTTTCGAATTCGCATAAGAGTCCGTATAAAACTTTTGTATACACTATTTATATTATATATGCCATGTTAAGGTCCCCATCTGATAACAAAAGCGACCACAATTAACATAAAAATTTACGACATTTACATACGATTTTTGTTTTTCTTTTCTTTCGAATGCCTTGCACCAAATTTCGTTTTCCTTCCTGCACTTTATTGACGAATTTTTATTTTAATCTGAAGCTCTCTGCTATTTTTTCCATTTTTTTTTCGTTTTTCAAATTCCTTTGAAACATTTTTACATCATGTGCTCGTGCTTCTGCTTGTAATTTGCATTGCTTCGAAAAATATGCCATTCATGGTCGTTTTGTTTGATTTTTTGGAAGTCCATCAAGTATAAATAGTTTAGCTTGTGTATATGCGCGGCTGCTTTTAATTTTTTTCCAATTTATTTGTGTACGATTTATTTTTAGAGACTATTTCGCTATAATGTGTCTGTCGACTTGTAAATAATCAAGACAGTGGGTCAATGGCAATAAATAAGTCTCTAAAAAAAAAAAATGTCTTTACCAAATCACGATGAAATGAATTTTTTTAATATAGTATTAGAAAGCAGGAATAGAAAGCTGCATGTACTTTGAAGCTTATCTGAAAATCTCGCAACTTTTTTGCATTTATAAGATTGTTGCGTGCACGGAGAAAGACAGTATCTCTTCTTTCGGATCCCTTATGAGGTTGGAATAGATGCAAGATAAGAAGAAAGTCTATGTAGTTACGATATCTGTCAAAGCAGTGAACGTAATTGCAAATTTTTTAATAAATATTCCAAAGTTAATACCA